GACCCGAGCCAGCTGCCCTTCGCCAAGCCGCCCCCGTACCGCGGCCGGCCACCGCCAGGCCCTGCAGAGCCACCTCGCTGCCTGCCACCGCTGTCGCGACAAGATGAGCTACCCACGTATGAGTCCTTGGTGCCACCACTGGGATCCAGGGAACCACCTGCATCCTGCTCCCGGCCACCGCCGTCAGGCCCTGGGGGGCCACCTCCGTCCTGGGACCTGGCACCTCTGTCAGGAGCCAGGGAGCCACTTCCACCTCAGCGTCTGCCACCATCAGGACCAAAGGAGCCACCTGCATCCCAGTCCCTGACCTCGCCAGCAGAACCTGGTCCTCCAATCCCAGCTCAGTCCCTACTACGACCATCAGGACCAAAAGAGCCTGCTCCATCTCAGTCCCCGCTGCTGCTAGAACCCAGGAAGCCACCTCTATTGCAGGTCCCGCCACCCTCATCAGGATACCAGGAGACACCTCCATCTCAGTCCCTGCTGCCACAGTCGGGACCAAAGGAGCCACCTCCATCCCAGGTCCTGCCACCAACATCAAGACACCAGGAGACACCTTCATCCCGGTCCCTGCTGCCACAGTTGGGACCAAGGAAGCCACCTCCATCCCAGGTCCCGCCACCAACATCAAGACATCAGGAGCCACCTGCATCCCAGTCCCTGCCGCCACAGCTGGGAGCAAAGGAGCCACCTCCATCCCAGGTCCCGCCACCAACATCAGGACAGCAGGAGCCACCTGCATCCCGGTCCCTGCCACCACAGCTGGGAGCAAAGGAGACACCTCCATCCCAGGTCCCGCCACCAACATCAGGACAACAGGAGCCACCTCCATCCCAGTCCCTCCTGCTGCTAGGACTGAGACCCAAGGAGCCATCTCAGTCCTTGGCCACACCAGCAGGTCCCTACAAGCCACCTCCAGCCTCCTTGCTGTCACCACCATCGGGACCACAGGAGCCACCTCCATCCCAGTCCCTGCGGCCACCATTGGGACCCAAGGAACAACCTCCACCTCAATCCTTGCCATCACTGTTTGGACCAGGGAGGTCCCAGTCCCCGCTGTCACCAGAGGGAACCAGGGCACCTCTCACTATTGGGTTGCCCCGGTCTCTGCCACTGTCCCTTGCTGGGCCACTCCCATACCGGGCCCGGCCCCCACCAGGCACCAAAGGGCCACCTCCATCCCAGTGCTTGCTGCCACCAGCAGGACCTGAGGTGCTGCCCTGCAATGGGCCACCCCATTCTCAGTCAGCGCCACAGCCGGGGGAGTCTGGGACGCTGTCCCCCACTGCGCCACTGCGATTCCAGTCCCAGTCCCAGGCCCTGCTGTCAGCCCCAGTGCCTAGAATGCGGGGGTCCCCAGAGCGCAGCCCCCCCAAGCCAATGCCAGTCTTCAGGAGCATCCGCTGCCAACTGGCCTCACTGGAGACTCAGGACATCCCCCCATCAGGGTCAGAGGTGGCCAGGGAGCAATCCCGCATGCTCCCTCCTGCGATCCCCCCACGGAGCGTGCCCGGCCGCGGCCCGACGGTGCCTCTGGGGCACCGGGAGCACGCCTGGCTCGTGGCCGTGTCAGCAGGGCGCTGGGCTCACATGCGGGCGCTCTTCTGGGAGGAGCCGCAGCTGGCCCTGTGGCGGGACTTCATGTCGGGCTTCACAGCCCTGCACTGGCTGGCCAAGCACGGTGACGGGCAGGGCCTGCGCGAGCTAGCGGCGGCGGCGCGCGAGGCTGGGCTGGCCCTGGACGTGGACGCGCGCTCGGGCTGCGGCTACACGCCACTCCACCTGGCCGCCATGCATGGCCACCAGCCCGCCGTCAAGGTGCTGGTGCTGCAGCTGGGCTGCCGTGTGCGCGTACGGGACAGCAGCGGGCGCCAGCCCTGGGAGTACCTGGGCAGCTCCACCTCGGGAGAGATCTGGCAGCTCTTGGAAGCGCCCCGCGGCAAGGTCATCTTCGCCACTCAGCCCCTGTCCCGCAGCGTGTCCTCCGCGAGCAAGGCCCCGTTGCTGACTGGCAGGGCCTCGCTGACCACCTGCCTCAAGCCACAGCGTGGCCTCAGGGCAGCGCCCCGCCGAGCTGGCGGCGACAGCGACTGACCCGCAGTTCCCCAGCATCCCCCCCACTGCGGGAGACACAGTCCTGGGGAGCATCCTGTGAGGGGAGGCCGGGTGGGTGCTGTGAAACCGAGACTGAACCTATTGAAGATACTTTTCAATTAATGCAATGAAACGTTGTCTGAGTCTGTCTGCCCTCGCTGTCCTGCGCTGCTTTTCTCCCCCAGAGAGTAGGCTTGCTTGGCAAGCACCTGTGTCAGACTGCTGCTCACCCACGGAGCCTGCTTCTGGTCTGCCAAGTTTTCTGCCTTCTGCAAAATCTGTCAGGCTTTAAAGCTCTCGCCTTGAATGCAAAAGGTGACGGGCGAGAGGACAGGACTCGTGCAGGAAGCACGGCCAAAGCCTGGGTACACAAGCCCTCTGGCCCCACAGACAGCCAAGAGCTGCTTGGGTGCAGTCACAGTCAGCCCTGCTGGCAGGTCTGCAGGTTTGAGGTCGCAAGTTTTGGCATGACACCCGCAACCAGGTCAGAGCATTTGCTTTCGCTTGCTGTTGATCCCAGGCTTTGGAAAACACTTATTTGTATGGCCTAAATTGTGGGGAGTAGCTGAGGCTGCATCCCTTTCTCATCGCAGCAGATTAAGGGCGAGTCGTGCTTTTGGAAATGCCGCATAGTCAAGCAACACCTTCCAGCAAGAGCCCTCAGTGACTGGCTGTGGTGGAGGGTGACAACCGGAGTGACCCGAAAGAGAGGAGGGTGCAACCCATCCACCCCATCTCTGGCCCACCAGCCCACGCAGGAAGGAATGCAGGGCAGCACTGCTGCCCTGCTTCTCCTTAGAATTGCCCCAGGCTGCCTGGCGGCACCGATACTGCCCCCTCCCTGCGCTCCTCTGCTCTCTCCGCCGCACACCACAGGACTGGGAAGTGGGAGCTGCAGGATGGCCTGTTCCCACGCCACATACACAGAAAGTGCCGCTGCAGGAATGTGGGTTAGATGGACGGGGAGCAGCACCACAGCATGTGCTCCGGGCTTGCAAGGCAACAGCAGCTTCACAGGCAGGGCTGTTTCCCCTCAGACCCTGAGACCTAAATGGCCTTGTAGGTGCTTAGCTGAAGAGAGTGGGTCAAAGAGCCTTCCAGCAGGGCCCTTCCTGAGAGCTTGTGAATGGCAGAGTCGGATTTATAGATCTCACCATTTTTTTATTTGTTTGCTTGCCGTTTTAAAACAGATGTGGACCCTGTGAAATACTCTGTATTCTGCTTCTTTTTGAGTGAGCTTTTAACTGTCCACAAACGCAATGGATGAATCTTACACCATCTTCCTCGGGCTCTCTTATAGATCCTTTAGGACAGGAAGAGAGCTAGTACCCACTGTGCCTGTCAGAGCCTGCCTTGGCACAAGCGCTAGATGAAGGCACCTTGATGCCTGGGTTACACTGGAGCTCTGGGGTGAGCCCAGACAGTAACCATCAGGAGTCAGCACTGGTGAAACTAGAGCTGCTGGCTCTGCGTCAAGCGGATGCTCTGGGGCAGCCCGGCACAGCGTGTGGGACTGCTCATGTATTTGAGGTATGTGCCTAAATGTCTGCAGTTTCAGGAGAAACAGGAGGCAGGGCAGCAGAACCTGACCCTTGCATAACGTGCCTCGAGTCCTTGCTCAAGCACTAATTGAGGTCTCCTCCGCTTTACTTAGGGTTTGTTTGAGGGAGGAACTCTTCCCTGCGGAAGGTAAGCTGGTCTGCCTGCCTCTGAGGCCACATTACGACGAGGGCCTTGTCCTAACCTGGTTTCCTCCTTTTTGAACAGGAAATTGCTCAGTAAACCTAGACCCAGGAACAATCACTCCTCTGTGAGGACAACAAAAACTTCAGCTCATAAGAAACATGTGACAGAGCCCAGGCCACCAAAGGGAGCGCAGTACACAAAGTAGTCACTGCTCCCCCAGGACTCATACCAGTGTGGGACAGTCACTGAGAAACACAATTTCTCCCCGTCTTCTGCATGTGGGGAGCACTCTTTTACTCCCCAGCCCTCTGCAGCTTGTGAAGATTAAAGCCCCCCGCTTTCATATCTCCGGTGTTGCTGAGACAGGACAATCTTAGGACTGTGCTACCTTGGGAGTCTCATTTTACAGCCTGTCAGTGACCTTTCCCCATGACGCAAAGGAAGGCAATGGTTTCTTTTTCTTCTTTTTGGCACACTGCTGCAGGCCACGTGTGTCATGCTAGAAAGATCAGTTTTCTTTCTGTAGCAATATCTTACTTCAAAAGTAATAAAAAAAACTATGAAATTCTTTTGTGGTCACTGTGTACTTACCTGTTGAGATGACACAGACAAGCTGCTTTCCCCAATTTTCTAATTAGTACGCTATAAAATAACTCCTAAGCAGGCTGAAACTGCAACTAGCTTTCCCTGCTGTATCCAGTGTGCCCTTCTCCTAGTTTATTATCCTAGGATTATTTGACAATTTTTGGAGTGCTAGTACTTGCAATACTAAAGGGCTCCTACAAATCACTGCTTTTCAAAGCATTCCATCACTGCTTGTGGCCTTAACCATTCTTTGACCTATAAAAGATCCCAGTCTTCAGGTTTTCTGCCGGTGAAATAAGCAGCAGAAAGGGTGAAATCCATCACTAGCCCACCACTGAGGGCAGAGCTACACCATTCCTCCATTGTGAGGGGAGGCTGCAGGACTCCTTGTTCTAGTCTCCCAGTACTAATGCACCTGTGGGATACCCACATGCATACACATCTACATGGAGCTCAAGCATCTGCTTCCGACTGCTCCTCAGCTACTGTGCTACCTACTTGTCAGCCTGCCTGGCCCCTTTTGCCATTGTGAACGTTGCTGCTTCCTCATTAGAAGTGGATGTGTCTGTTTGCCTCACACCCAGTCCAGGCATCTGGTTTTGCACCACCCTGAAATCTAGAACACGCTGCAGATGAGTGCGTGGCAGGACTCTGCCCTCTCCTCACACAATGTCTGAAAACACCTCCCACGTTACTGCTGCCAGGTGATGAAGTCCACCCTGCCGCTCTCCAATGCTTCTCTCTAACCAGCCTCCCACTCCAGCAGGTGCGTCCTTTGTCTAGGGGGTGCCTATTGACTCAGCAGCCTTCGGCTGCCGCACGAGGGCAGGCTCATGAATTTGGGTCCTAAAGAGTTATCGTAAAGCTAATCCTGCAGACATAGTACCCCCTTTCCAGTGTCTCCCTACATCTGGGGCACATGGAGCTAGACCCCTTTATTAAAACACCTAAAGCAGACAGTACAGCAGAAAGAGCTGGATGTTGATCCAGTTCTCACAGCTTTTGTTAGGATTCCAATCAGGTAATCAAGCTGACTCTGATTAGACTCCCATAGCCTTTAGAAGCAACAGGGAAGTCGCACAGGTGAGCTGGCACTGCCTGATATGATTGCTCAGCTACTCACCACGTCTTTGTTCATCATAGAGTCCTGTCCCCAAGGTCTGTCACTTTAGCCTAGTAAACTGATTTCCTCAGTCCCCAGAGCCTGCAAGACTAGCACTTAAACTATCAAGCATTTGTGCTGAATGGGGTAAACTCAGCACCGAGCAGGCATGTGTCCATTTGAGTCACATTTTACAGCAGAATTATCCTTTGAAGTGATGAACCACCTCCCCTCCAGCAAATCAAAGCTTCCCATCTATAAACACACCAAAATGCACACCAAGTTTCCCAATGAAATGTCTGCAAGCTGGCAACACATTGTTGTGCTTCAGTTCTATTTTCACCCGCCTCAGGCCAAAGACCGAATGCTACAGCAACAGCAAGAGCCCAGGCCAGTAAATCTCACAGAACGTTTTAATGCAATTAAGAAAACATTCCTCTGCAAATCAGATAGGAAATACAGCGAACCTTGTTATTTTAAGTTAATAGGCAGGAGATCCTCGACACCAGCACCTTACTGAAGCAATAAGAAAGGGAACTTATACCTGCAAAAATAAATCCACCCAAGAAGCTACATCACACAAAAGCCACTTTGTTCTATCGGGACAAGTGTCATTTGGTTTAAATTATTTATACATGACTGCAGAGTGAGAGAAACATCTTGCAGACTTGAAACAAGCAAAGAGACACAGCCCAGACTGCTATTAAGTGTTGGTCCAACTAGATTTTCCCAGGACTGTGTGTTGCAAGTAAAACCAGATGGCAAGGCGAGGGTAACAAAAACAACCCCCCTTGTTAAGAGGAGCATTTTCTCCAGCTTGAGTTTCCCCATTAAGATGATAGTTCCCAGTCACCTCTGGATACTGAGTTTCACAGTAAGGCAATAGAAAAAGAACTCTTCCTGTGGCTGAAGTAGCGGTTCTTCCTGTCCAACATGAGCCATATAAACAAGCAAACAACTAAACTTAACTTATAATGAGTAAATTTTTTTCTAGGGGAAAAAAAAAAAAAGACATTTCCAGCAAAAACTATAAACATGCTTCCTTAAAACAAATCATTAAAAACCCTCAAAAAGAACTTTCTTCTTGCAATAATACAAAAAAAAATAGCAACTTAAATTAAGCATGGTTCTTCGAGATAAGAAAGCACTTGGATAACGAACAGAACTCCCCTCTCAAAAGCTTCTCAGAATCCCTAAAATAGCACTACTCCTCTTTACACATCCTCCCTCAGAAATTGAACCCACACACCTGAAAAGTGTTAGGGTCACTATCCCCCCCTTATATGTCCTCAGTGCTGAGTGTAACTTGCATAAAAGGAGCTTGTGGGGGCTCTTTTTTTCCTTGATGGTGTGTGTGTGTGGGGTGGGTTGTGTATGTGTGTGTGTGGGGGGGGGGCGGGGGGGGCCTTCTTCAGTGTTCTGTAGCTTGTTATATTTTATTCAGCTGAGATGATAAATATAATGAAGAAGGGGTAGAGGGCTACTTTTTGTATTATGTTTTCCAGCTGAGAGTGTATGATAATATTTTGCTTAACTGTTTTTTTTAATCTAGGAGAACTTTTAAAAAATGCAAAGTATATGTACATGAAGACAAGAGACTGCAGTTCAGAGGAAAATATGGTGCTTGTTGTAAGTAAGTAGTTCTAAAATATTTGGGAAGCTAGTATTTATTATAGAGGAGAAAGAATGATTTTTCTAAACAGAATAAAAAAAAAAACAAAGGAAGTAGCTTTTATTTTCCAAAAACAGAGAGCAAAGGTGATCTAACTTGACTACTTAATTTAAGCAGTAGTGCTTCTGCTACATGTAGTTGGCTCAGTGGGCAAGGCAAGTAGGGCTAGGATGCTTGAAAAGTATGAATGGAACCAAAACCACATAAGTTAGTTCATGGTTGTTAATTAGTAATGTAGTCACAAGTATTTCACTACAGGTGAGAAGTAGTTGGATTTGCAGAAGTTTATACCTAGACTGGGAATTCTCTGTTAACCCAGCAGGGGACAAATAGCTTTGCGCAACCAGGCACTGAGGAGATGTTGTCACAGGTTGGTCAAAGTCCCTGCAGAGCTTTTGTGCCAAAAGGCAAACAGAAAGAGTTGTTTAGGGGAAATGGGAAGCCCTTGAGCCCAGTTTGCAGAAAGGACAGGAGGTAACTGACAGGCTTTAACTAGGAGTGTGCTATCAACATGCAGAATTGCACTCCCTCCACTAACAAATACCTTGTCCCCCTTATTTGCCTGGTGTTTCTTGCACTGCACTACATGGGGAGTGGCAGTGAGATTTGGCTGCCTTCCTACCAGAGGTAAAAGGGCTGATCCCTGAGCTGCCCCTAAGCCAGGGCCCCAGCTTGGTCCCCTGGCTGGCATGAGGTCCTGCAATTAGAAGTGAGAGGCACCTTCTCTGTTCCGCATGCCTGCTCATGCTCAGCAGCACCACATCACCCCAAAGGCCAGGAGGCCTGTGCTTGGCACCTGCTGAATATTACTGCTGAGTGATTAAAATGTCACTTATGTAAATACTAGAAAGCTTTTTTTTATGAGCAAGTATCCATAAAACAGCTCAACTGCACTAGAAATCTGCCTTAGCTCACTTCCTAGGCAGCCCCTTGCATTAAGGGAACTCGTTTGCTGAAGATTCAGCTTTGCTTGTGAGTCATAGCACTAGAGACAAAGCAGGTGAAGTCTGGATCTTTTAGCATATTTCTGCTGCAAGTTCATATGCCACAAGCCTGTTAGCTTATGTTTTTTCCTTCATTTGAGTCCTGCTGCTTATGTCACTGCTGTCCACAGGCAAGGACAAGGAGACTATCTAGCAGAGACATTACTTCCCAGCAAGCACAATCCCAACAAATGCCCCCACTGTTGGGGAGAGGAGGATGAAGACCAGATTGTTTTACTACACACTGTGCATACATGTTGCAATATATTTTCAGACCAAGATGAACACCCATGGGGCACTATGTTAAGTTATGGCTCTTTGAGGAGATGTGGCTTGAGTGATAGAACCAGTGCAGGCTGCAGGGCACCTCAGAGGTCAAGAGCTGTCATGCCTGCCATCCAGCAGGGGTCAGTACATGTGATAGTATTGCCTCTAGATACAGGCAAACAGATGCATGTAGCCAAGGAGTTGTGATTTTCTGTTTCTATAAGCAACAGACCAGCTGTAGTCACTTGTGTAATGGCTCACAGGAGGTGTATATAAAGTATTGAGGTGCTACCTGCTCTATGAATATTGGCTAAATGGTCTGAACAAAGAATTTGCAGCTCTCCTGCCTGCTTTCTCATTCCTGCTTCATGTGCAGCTGAAGGTTTTCTTCCCAATAACACTCATGCCTAGATCTCAGGTCTTTTGAGCTGCTGCAGGATCGTCTGTGCTGGAGATGGGCAGCTTGTGTGCCATGGGGTTGTGTGTGCTTGACCCCTGTCAAAGAGCTGGTGCTGAGCACAGTGTTCTGCAAGCAGTTGTGCACTGCGGGAGGGCAGCAGCTCAGGACACACTTTGGGGGAGTCTTCTGCCTTTGGCTGGCTTAAGGTGGTGACAGCTGGGTGAAGGTAGGTGGTTGTGTTTGGCTTCTCAGATGGCACGTGGGGGCATGCTGCCACTCCTGCCATGAGTCGCGGGTGAGGCGCTCAGCATGACTTGCACTCTCTCCACTTTCTGCTTCCTGCCGTTGTGAGAAGTGTTCCCTGTCCTCTTTTTTCCTTGGCATTCTACTGTGCTTGTGGTTCTCCATCACAGCTGTGTTTCCCTGCCCCAAATCTGTTTATGGGCCCAACTCAGAGCTCCCTGGGGAACGCACTAGAGCCTTCAGAGGGATGAGGAGGCAAGATTCCTGCTCTGCCATGATGCCTCCCTGCTGCCAAGCATAACTGCCCTTTCCAATTGTACTTTGAGGTCAGTGAGTGTGGGGCTTATATTTGTAGTTGTAGCAGACAATTCTCAGCTGTTAACTGGGCTATCATCTTCCAGCACTGTGAGTAAGGGGCTGTCATCAATGATGGAAAACAGCCAAATTGTCTACCCGCATTTGACAGTGATTTTAAGTCTAAGTCAACCCCTTGCCGTTGTGGAAAGAGGTCCAGCACCTACCTGCAGTATTTTCAACAAAAGCCCCAAGCACTCACTATGTGTGACTAGTTGTAATGGCCCCTAATGCCAGACTCCTTCAGGGTAATCTCTAACATCAGTGGCTGTCACTGCCACAGGTTTGTCATTGCTGGAGCTCAAGTGATCTAAAACTTAAGTAACTATAAATGTTTGAGCAGCATGTATGAAATCCAGCGTTCAGACCTGCATGGCTGGTAGCCCTACCTCAGCCTGGTTCTTAGTAAACTGTTTGCTTTGTCCTGCACCAGGGTGCTGGGCATGTGCAAGGAGGCTTGGAGTGCTGAAGGATTGTCATGGTGTGGGCAGAGATCACCTCTCTTGGCTCAGGGCTCCCTGTGAAGAAGGGCTGCTCACCTAGTTAGGTCCTTCACACTTCTCACTTGCCTCACTGCACACTCTGAAACTGAAGGAGCTGCACAGCTCCAAATACGTATCTAAGATCCTTTAAGCCTGTGCTGCTGCAGCCCTCTGGACCTCTGTCACTGTGGTTGTGTCTCAGTGCAGAGTTTGTGTCTAGCATAGCAATGAGTTGGCTGGCTTCTGAGCACCAAAGGATTCTCTGCAAAAAAACCTGCTTGACCTTTCTTGCTGCCCTTGCCTAGTCCAGTCCTGTGAGGTAGGCTGATATGCTGTCCTTAGATGTGTGTTTTTGTTTTTCTCTCCTGTTGCCCAGGTTCCACTGCAGCTCTCCAGGTGCTGGTGTGCTGGGGCTCACCCAGGAGCGGGCTGTATGGAGCTGAGCAGCCTGCTGGTACCCGTGTGGGTGCCTGGTGGGGCTGGCAGTGATAGCTCAGAGATGCTTGTCTCCCTGCAGCACTTGAAGTACCTGCTGTGGCTTATCTTGCTCCATGAGAGATGCCTGCTGGCCAAGGATGGCCCTTGCCTGCGACACACTCTAAGGGTGCCAGGCATGTCTTTGCTGCTAGACAGCATGGCCTGCCCTCACAGGAGAGCAGTGCTTGTGGGTCTTGTCTTGCACCTACTGGCTCTGGCACTGCTCACCAAGAAGGAATGGCCGGAGTGGCTCCTAGGGAGGGAGGCTGTGAGGTGATCTTGGCAGAGGTGCCGGGGGGTATGTCCACATGACACTGCTGGAAATCCACATGCTAGTCATGGGGGTATGCAGCAGTGGGGGTGGCTCTGTCAGGCATTGTGCTTTGATGCTGGTTTTAATCAAGGGTTTTAGTTGTCCAAAAAAATTCCCAGTCAGCTTATATATGACTTCCTGGATGTCAGGGCTTTTGGCCAGGATTCTCAAATCCTTCCTGGCAGCTGTTTAAATGATTCATTTCTTGTGGCAATGCCTTGCATGACAGCAACCCCTGGTAGCCCTCTGTCAGAGCTGTTATGTGGTCCCGGGTGCTGGTGCTCCCACACTGCTTGCCTTTATGCAAGGACACTAAGTGTTATATTTTGTGATGTCAGCAGCATGCTTGCGTAGAGCTCCTCTTGTGCTGCTTTCCTGTTAACTTTATTTCACAATCGGCTGGTGATGCATCTTTCATTGCATTGAAGGGATCCAGTGACATAATAGTCTGAAAAAGCTGGGTGTATCTTGATTGTTGCATTACCATGAACAAAATCAGAGCTTTTTTTCCTTAAGAACTCTGTGATCCATGTATCTTTCAGATAAGCCTTAAATCTGCTAGAAATAGATGAAGGAAGAAGAGAGCATTAAGGGAAGAACCCTTACCCTAACTAGCCTTGTTTTGAAGATTTTCCATTGCTGAGCTCAGAAAGGATCATGCCAGTTTCTCAGAGTTTGTTGCTCTATTTTTAACATATTTTTAATCAGCTCCCTCTTTCCAAGGCATTTTTCAACTCCCTACTGTCAATTTGCCTTGGAGAATTGAATTTGAAAATTGTGAGGCAGCTATAACAATCCCTTCTCACTGTGTGGGTGTTTCAAAGGAGACCAGCCCTGGCACACAACTGCTTTTGTGGGGATGGGCTCCAGATGGCTTGGGCTTCTAAACCAGCCCAGCACGATATGTGTGCTGGCCACGCTGGAGGAGAGCTCTTCTAAATCAGTCTTGTTTAAGGATGACTTTCCCACTAGGGCTCTTAGCAGCAAACAGGGCTGTGTTCTGTCTGAATTTCCCTGCAGCTCTTGTGAAGACTTGAGGATGAGCCATGCTGGCAATGCTGCCTCTGCATGTAACCAGCCACGTGGGCAGAGCGGGTGGCTCTAGCTTTGAGCATAGCAGGCCTCGCTGCTGCAGACATGGGAGTGACACCAGTGTCTAGCGTGGGCTGCTGCTCCACTAGGTAGGTGGCTTGGGGAAGGGGTGCTCTGCCCAGGGAGGAGGAAGGGCCTTTGCAGGCTCCTGGTGGAAGCTTTGTCAGGGAACAGCTGCCAGACTTGCTCCAGGGACCTGGGGCTCTTGTGTTCCCTCCTGTGGACTTGAGCAGGACTGAGGAAGGCATTTCCAACTGCAGCAACCCAGCAAAATCAACCCATGTGGCTGTGACTGTCATCCAGCCCCGCTGAAATGGCTCCTGCACCTCAGATGGGAAGAAGCAGTGCTTCTTGTCATGTCTACTGCGACAGGACAGATTTTTGCCCTTGGGCTGAGAATTGGGCAACTAGTTCTAATTCTGGAAAGTATCTTTTGATTTTTCAGAAAGCCTCCTAGACTTTATGGCAAAAAAACAGGAGCTTGTGCTTTACAGCAGGCACCCAGTGACTGAAGCGATTTGTAAACAGGAGTTCATGACAAGGCTAGCCCCCAACCTGTACAGACTCACTGGAGCAAGCGAACAGCTACTAAAGGCATACTCCAGCAACACAGCCTCTCTGTAACACATACTCCTCCTTTTGTTTTTACCAGACAGGGCAAGCTATTTGCAACCTTCCTCCCTCTATTCCACTGACAAGATCTGTGCCTGGCTCACAAGCTCTGCTGCCCAGGTGCCTTGGGGAGGGCAATACATGTGCAGTCATTGCTTTCCAGTTTTTCCTATGTCTTGGATACCTTACATAAGATGAAAGCTTGTGTAACTCTTATGCTGGTAGCGAAGAGAAAGGGTTAGTTTCCTGCCTCCCTCTTTCATAATGTAGTAGCAGCTATAGCTGGCAGCTCCAAAGGAAGATCCTGGTGTGCAGGACACTGCTTTGTAGGGGACTTTCAAGTCCTTTCAGCACTGTGTTCTGTGATGCCTGCCACAGGGTAGGAAATGAAAAAGGGAAGCCTAGGCAGGTGGAGGTGCAGCCTGTTACCAGCAGTGTGGTGGTACAGGACTTGCATACTATTTTCTTGTGAGTGTGATGACAAGTCTGCCTTGGAGGAGGTGTTTGCTTTCCTGCTGCCCCTAGTAAGCTGCAAAGAGGAGAAAGGATGCACCTGCATTCAGAATTAACTGGAGAAGAAAGGGACTTCAAATGTGGAACAAATGCCAACAGCTCTTTTGAGATACAAAAATAAACTTGGAGGAGGTGTTTGCCACCTGCAAATTGATAAGGTATGTGGAGGAGTGCTAATGTGAGATGAGCATGAAAGAATAAAGCCCAGTCTGTGCTGGGCTGCTACTCATTTGTTCCAGTTAAATCCACAGAGAGGAGAGGAACATAGGGACTGTCAGTTTGGGTCAATGTTAATGAGGGAAGATGAGACATAATGATAGACAAAAAGCAAGAAGGGTTTTATAATTAACTTGATAATTAACCTTGAATGCATCTGTCTCCCTTATAATATAGGGGGCAGCTGTAATCAGGAAGTCTTTTCGGATAAAAATGCAATACTGAGGTGTGGCATGCAGCCTGCTCACCTCTAGAACGACCTGGGCTTTTGGATGCTGTCCTGACACAAAGCTCCTGTTGAAGCAATGCTTGGAGGTGGTTGGTGCCTGGGGGTGCTGGGAGGGCCTCTTGGACCCATGCCGAATGGGAGTGTGGTTCCTAAGTGCTCATTTGTCAAGAGTGGGTAAGGGGCCTTTTCTTGGGGGTCTTGCTCAATTTTCTCTACTATTTCCAGAGTCACCCCTAAGTTTTCTCCATGGTTAACAAGCAACTGGAGGCTACCACAGCCATGATGGCACTGCAAGGGACCTTCAAATGACCACAAAATGACAGCTGTGCAAGAAACTTGGGGCATAAAAAGGTCCAGAGAGCTCCTTAGTGAGGGCCTGGAACTGCAAACCAAATAGAGGTTTCCCTGGGGAGATGGTGACTGGAAACTAACATGCCATGGGAAGAATGAGTGGCACAGGCAAAACCAGTAGCACAGAGTTACTTAAGGGCAAGTGCCCAGATAACCTTACAAGGTGGATAACAGCCATGGATTCAAAGTTTCCATTCCAGTACAAATATTTAGGTTGTAGGAGTGACCAAAGTCTATAATAAGACCAGGATCCCACTTAGGTACTCTGAAAGCCTAAGTCTTAAAGTGCAAAAATGAGTTGTTTTCTTGATTTGATGAAGACATAGGGGAATTTGAGTCTTATTTGCGATCAAAAACTGTATTGCTTGGGCACAGGTGGAGGCTGCACCAGTGAAAAGGAACCCAAGTAGTTTTTCCCTTGTCCAACACAGGCCATGGAGATGCAAGTGCATTTCAACCAGTGCAGTGGCATGGTGCTGTGTGCTGCTGCTTCTGGACTGAGCTACTGTGACTACTTGCAGCTTAGGGAGGCGGCATGTGCATGAGACTGCCAGAAGAGACAGCTCTGGCTCAGAAGAGGACTGAGGGGCTGCCCTCTCTTTAGGTACTGCATGTGGAAGGAGGCAGCTTGCAAGCCAGGAATGTGAAGATGTGAACTGACAGTCAAAAAAGAAAGGTACTATCAGTGCTTCTAGCAAGTGGAGCCTTTTCCCCAACTACAGAAATGAATAATTTAAGGTACGTAGCATCAGCAAATAAGGCAAGCATCCTTATGGCACTGCCTGCATCTGGACCCTGTGTCACCTGGACATGACCACTCTGGAGTTTGCCGAGGAGTCTAGTGGAGGTGTGTGCTCAGTCCTGCTCAAACCAAGAAAAAGCCATTTCTTATGACAGGAGTCATTAGCCATGACAGAGCTCCCCAGCGGCTGGGTTAAGTTTTTCTCTTGCAGGACATCACGGAAGAAAAATAAAGCTGCGTTCATCTGTCATTTGTTGTTTCAAAATGTAGTTTAAAGCATTTTTACTGAACTTGGAGCAGTCAACTGTCTGACTTGAGCCTTTGCAAATCAAAACAGGTGCCAAGAGCTCATGCCAGATATGTGCTACTGGACAGTGCTTCTTGTCCTGCAGAGCCAGGGGGTGGGTGGGCTTCCTTAATTCCATGGAAGCAGCACCCACCAGCTCTGGGGTACAGAAATGACTTGCAAGAGGCAACAATTCCCTCCCTTCCTCTCCTGGCTTTCAGCAGGGTCCCTCATCTGCTGCCTGCTCTGGGCTTGTGCGTTTTGTCCTGGGTGCATGGCCTCTATCCCAGGTATCAGAGCGTGTCAAGGCTCAGGCCTTTCCCTCATACGGTACAGAGGGTCTGGGGTAGCCTTTGGCAGGAGGGGGTAGGTCAGTGGGGCTTTGCTTAGCAAACCTGCTGAAAAAGAAGGAGGGTTGCTGGGGATTTTTCCTTCTTATTTTACTAGTGGAGGCTGTAAGGGGGAGATATTCCTTTTTGTGGCTCCCCACTGTAGGGAGGCAGGCAGAAAGGAGGGCAGGTTGGCAGCACAGCGCTCCTGGCTGACACTAATTGCTGCTAATTCCTCTGGGCATAGCATTGAGAGCATTAAATCAGGGCAGGACCAGAGGGGTTTCTGCTAACCTGGCTGTTAGGGCTCAGCACTGAAGGAAATCCAACAGCACAGTCTCTGAGTATGATTTGAAAGCTATCTCCGTGTGTGAGAGAAAGCACTGGAGGAGGAGACGCCGGGCCACAAAAGCAGCTTGCAAGAAATGCACATTTCAGAAGGGGAATCGGAGCGGCTGGCGTGTTAAGCCCATAATACCACAACGCCCTTCCCCAGCAGCGCTGCTTCCAGACCTGGGGCTGTGTTGAAAAGAGAGGTTTCCAGGGGGGTTACAGAACTGGGTGGAAAACAAATACAAAAACCTAACTGACCAAATAGAATTTGCTCAACCCCTCGCATGTGGCAGCCAATGGGAACAACTGCACAGAAATCAGGCGCCTAAAGCTTACTGTAGCACGTGATCCTAGCTAGCGTATGAGAGACGGAGGCAAACTTAAGGTGGAATCTCTTGATTTTTTTCTTCAAACCACCCTTGGAGGGATCTCTCTTCATTGGCATATGCCATGAGTGCTGGATCATCTCCTGTAGTTAACCCCGACTCCAGTATGGCTTTTGCAACTGTGGAACACAGTCAGGGAGGTAGTTGGAGACCAGACCATGCACGGAATTTTGCCTGCAGTACTTCCAGTCAGCGTTAGGCCCTGTTTTAAACACCCCTGGTCACAGGACTCCAAATCACACTTGTGACTTTGCAGTTCAAATGCAACCCAGAGTTGCCTATCGTGCTATAATGCCTCGTGATTGTTAGAATCGGGTGGGGGACATTTGGGGCAAGGGATGGTATCAGGAGGCAGGGCACTGTTTGGATAGCAACAAGCAGAGGCTGCTGAAGGCTTTGCAGGCTGCTGCCCGGTAGCACGTTTCCTTCTGCTACCTCACCATAAATTCTTACCCTTGGTTTCAATGTTATCAGCGGGTATCTATCTCACAGGCTAGTCGAGGCTTAGCCAACAAGAAACATGCTGCGTTTATACAGCAGCTCCCACTGAAGGTTTAAAAAGCCTTGATTAACCTCTTAGTGTGAGGTTGCATGTCATTACCATCACTTCAGTCATGGGGGAAACTGAGGCACGGAGGCCAAACACCCCTCCTAAGATGAGTACAAAGCTAAGAGCAGTGCCAGCTGGCCCCGTCCCGTAGACCCTTGTAGCACCTCGTCTCCTGCCACCTTTGCCTCGCCGCTCTGCAGAGCCCCTTGGTACGATGACATTATGTGATTTCAAGAGACACAGTAAGGGGGGACAGACTAGCAGGGAGAACAGCCTTCTCTCTTGCTGGCTGTGCTCAGCCCTGCCTGGCCTCTTCCTCCGCTAACAAAGCATTTTTCTTTTCCCTCTGGAGTCTTTTGCAACTGAAATTGAACCCGTTAAGATCATGCTACTTTTCAAAAGCTACAGCCTGATTTCTCACGTAGACTAGTGTCTGCACAAACAGCCCTATTTTTTAGACAGTTTTAAAATTCTGGCATTGAATGTGGGTTTCTTATTTGAATGCAAGCAGTAATGCTTTGTACCCAAGGGCTCCTGTAGGTCTAGTCCCCTTGCTAGCAGGAGGCTGGGCTGCAAGCACAAGTACGGACTCATTTTTAGAAGCAGTCACTTTACAGCCATAACATGAAGAATACGACCATGATTTTAGCCAGGGATCACTTAACGAAAAGCAGGCACCTCACTGCAAGCACAGAGATATACTCGGGCTCCTGGGAAAAGTGCCAACACACAGTGCGTAGCCGCAGCTAAGAGACCTTACAGCAAGGATTTCTAGGATCACGCAGAAGCAAACAACCATCAGCTTTAACAACCACCCAAACAGTGTTGGCAAATAGCAATATGGATAGAGATCCAACCAAGCCCCCCTGCTGTGCACTTTGAATGGCTGGGACTGCTCCAGACCCAAAACAACTGCAGCTGATCTGCATCTCCCCCCACACACACCATGTGATAGTCCTGCCCGAGTGATTTAAGCTGCTGGGGCTCATTGCTGAGTCACCCTGGGCTGTGGAGTGTCCTGCTTGGAGGGGCTGGTCTCTGCAGCATGAAGCAAGTGAGTGCTCTTCTCAATGGACTTTCCTGCCAAACAGGGGCAGGGTTTCGGGTGTGTGCGTGTGTGTATGTAGAGGAGTGTGGTGTCAGAGGAAAAGGATTAGTGGAGAAGAAATGCTGGGCTGATAGATGGCTGTAGGGGGAATGGTCAGGGCTGATCAACTGCTTTTTCTCTTGCCATTCTCTAGTGTATGTTGCCTAAGGGGGGAGGCAATTTTAATGGATAGCTACATGTTTTAATGCCCTGAAAGTCTGGATTTGTTTATAGTATCTGAGTATCTTTATTTCTCAACTCTGTGTCTTTCCTCTGGAAATAATTCTTTTTAGGTACAGGTCTGAGCTACCTTTTAAGTAAAGAGCAGTGGAACTTAGGAAGGCCCTCCTTGTCTTGAAAGGACCCACTGCACGTTAAAGCTGTGTGTCAGGTTGTATTTGAGCAGCCAAGTTCAAAAACATAAACACTAGTAAGCAGTATTAGTAGGTGCTCTTACTGCCATGGTGATAAGTAGCTTAGTGACTGGGGAAATCTGACCTCAGCTCTGGGCAGAGCAGGGAGTAAACATGAATGTGAGATCTGTTTTGGGCAGAGGGGCACTGAGCTCCAGAGCTGCCTGTGGTTGATGGCATGGCATGTGCTTCCCGAAGCTAGGAAAGGAAGATGAGCCCAATTATTTCATACAGCTTGATCTGGGATCAGCTCCTGCCTTTCCTATCTTGTAGGTATGCAGAGCTCAGCACTAGTGTGTGTGTGTGTGAGCCTGGAGCACAGGCTGTGGGGCACAGCCTGAGTTGTGCTGTCTGACCTAGCCAAGGTGCAGCCTCCCTTTAGTGGGGGTTTTCTGACAACATTAAGACCCCCCTTTGGGTTTTTTTTTTTTGGGGGGGGGGGGGGGGGGGGGGGGGGGGGGGTTTTGCAGCTAAGGGAGAGAATAATCTGCTCCCTGCCAAGGAACAAACTGTCTTATTTGTAGTGCAAGCTTTCCTTGGGCTGTCTGTATCTTGGTTTATGGCCTGCAGCTAAGAGTGTGCTAACTCCTATGGCTTGGTCTAGCAGGGACTGGTGGTTACCCAGCTGGATGTCCAGCCTGGAGAGTGCATCAAGGTCAAAGGGAAGATTCTATCAGATGCTAAAGGGTAAGTGGGGAGATAGGGAATGAATGCATGTCTCTCTGGAAGAGACTACATAGGATGCTGCCTCCTCTGGAGGTAACTGAGCCTCCTGCAGGGCTCAAAGCTCTGTGCTCCTTGCATGGAGCAGCTGTGGCTGGAGCTCTTGCAGGACATGAGGGAAGCTCCTCTGTACTGCCTCCCTGCAGCTCTTGCTGTCTCCCAGGTTTGCTGTGAACATAGGCAAGGACAGCAGCACCCTCCTGCTGCATTTCAACCCCCGCTTTGACTGCAAGGGAGATGTCAACACTGTCGTGTGCAATTCCAAGGAAGATGGTGCCTGGGGTGAGGAGGACAGGAAGACTGAATTCCCCTTCCAGCACGGTGACAAGATTGAGGTGAGGCCTTTGGGGGTGCGTGCAGTTCCTAGCACAGACAACAGTATTAGCACTATGAGGGTGGAACTTTTAATGCAGTTCACTATCCCTAAGATGGAGAAGGATGGCAGGCCTGGAGGGAGCTAGGCACCAGGATAAGGGTCTGGGAGAGGAGCTGATGGAGCATGTAGCCCTGTTCTGTGTGAGTCAGTGCTCAGCAGGGCAGGGATAGTAAGGTCTCTGCACTGGCCTGCCTTTGCAAACACAGCAGCATAAACTTATCATTTCAGCTCTTATCAGTCTCATCCCTTGGCTACAGAAACTTTGGGCTGCCTTGAGCAGAGCAAACAGATTCCTTCCCTCAGTGCCTCTGCTGGTTAGGCAAGAGCCAGAAGCTTTATCACCTGTGGTGACACTATCAGTCATTCCCCTGCACCCAGGCTGGAGGGAGTGAGGAGCCTGACTTGTCAGTGGCCTTGTCTAGCTCTTCTCTATCATGCTTCTCTACAGATGTGCATCTCCTTCGACGCGGGGGAGGCTACAGTGAAGCTGGCTGAGATGGAGTTTCAGTTCCCCAATCGCCTGGGCATGGAGAAAATTGAATACCTGGCGGTGGAGGGTGACTTCCAAGTCAAAGCTATCAAGTTTAGTTAACTGCTGTGGCTTACTTTGTTTTCTTCTTGTCACCTCCCACAATGAAATAAACCCAAACTGGCCATGGCTGCTTGCTCTGCTGTTTGCTGCACTAATCTGCTTGCTAATGTGTGTGCTACAAGGATGGACGGGGCAAGCTGGGGGTGTATGTCCTATGCTGCTTTTTAAATTGCCACTGGTACTGAATTTAGCTCAATCACATGCCATGCAAAACATGAGTTACTGTGACTCAAACTCCCTTAGCAGTAGGTGCTCTCCCCACCTTGCTTCTTGTAAGAAGTGTTCCCTGGTTATTTGGTCTCTGTTCTGGGACTGGTCCCAGCTGCTCAGCAGTGGCAGAGAGGCTTGAGCAAGTGTGTTGGGTCACCTGTGTCCAAGGGTACTGCTCAATACACAAGGCATGGCTTGGGCTCGTGCAGGCAGCTTGGCTCTCTGGGAATGTGCTCAGCAGAAGGCTGTCTTGCACGCTGACATGAGGGAGCTTCTTGAGCAGAGAGAGCAGGCAAGCCAGGCTAAGTGCTCTTGTAGGGCAAGAGATTTGGGGGGGGGGAGGGGGAGGTGAAAGATGGGTCCTGGAGCACAACCAGATCAGAGGTGGGAAAGATACTCAAAAGGTCTTGTAATAGCATCTACACTGTCTCTTTTGCTTCATAGACTGTACTTCCTTAGCACTGGGCTGCTAAATTCCAGATGTATCCTGGAACTGCTATATTCAGCAGTTGTAAGAGGGAGGTATTAAATCAAGCATCAAGTACAGCTAGCTGCAGTTAGGTGGGGAAGCTTAGCCAAGGCTATCTTCTACCTGTAATTGCTCATGCAATGCTTGAGGTACGTCTGCTCCTGCCGTTCCCAAGCTGCCTGCCAGCTGTGGCTAGGCATGAGAGATTCAACTGGGACATCACAGCACTTCAAGACCTCAAAAGGTAACAAAATCTTACTCTTGTTGTGCTGCATGTGGTCTTCCTGGGGTGGGGGGCTGGGGCCTTGACAGCTGAGGCACTCCTGCCCCACTGCATCTCAGCTGGCAGAGGATTGCTCTGGTGTAAGGTCTCACCTTGGCCAAATGCTGCTGAAGAGGTGCAATTTGACTCCCCTGTCTAATCCCTTGCAGCAGGGTAGTTGGGGACCAGGGCTGCATTTGATAGTCCTCTGAACAGCTGAGTAGCTGGGCCAGCTGCTGGGGTATGGAAGTATCCCTCTGCAGAGCATTTGCAACGGCTTGATGGCCTTCTATGGAGAGGCTCCAGGCCTGTTGCTCGTGTGCTTCCAAGCAAGTGATCCAAGGTGGTAGAAACATCTAGGTCTGTGTTGCAACAACTAGCTTGTAACAGGCCAACCTGTGGGGGACTTGCCTTGGAGGTGGATCTCACTTACCTGAGTGTGGCCTTGTGCTTTCTGAATACCCCTGTTATTGAGACCTTTCTTCTGCCCTGCCAGAAGGGTTTGGGTGTAGTTGTGTTTTGCTAGTAGCCCTACAGGCCCCATTTTGGCTTTCCCATTTTGTGTCTGCTGGTCTGGGAGAGAGGCTTTTGTCCCAAGGGAGTTGGTTACTTGCCTCCTTCCCTGGAAGTCTAAGACTGCTAAAAGCATTTAGTCTACCTTGAAGAAATGACCTGGTGGCTGATGCAGACTTTAAATCCTGCCCTGTGTGTACTGCATTATTTACAGGATCCAAGCCAAGGGTAAGATAAATCTTGGCTATGCTTTCTGTTACCAAATATCAGTCCGGAGCGTCATAGATGGCTATTTGCTCTGTGGGGTGTCTGTGTGTCTGTGCAGGTGTGGGAACGGGATGGCTGATGAATAACTCCCCTTGCTCTCCATCTTTTTTCAAGCTGGCTAAAGGTACACTGAATGCTACAGCCTTCAAGCTCCTGAAGAAATACCAAGCCCTTGACATTGCAGAGTGACAGGTGAACTTGCTGCTTATTCCTCAGCCATCTGTTCCTGCTGGTCTCATCACACTAGGTATGCATTTGCGAGTACTTGAAGGCTAGAGTTTTTCTTTTTTTTTTCTTCCTTTTCCCCTCTCTCTTCTCTATCCCTTTTCTCCCCTCTTTCCTACAGCTGTGGAAAGCCTGCAGTCCTCACTTTTAGGCAGGTTAGCCACAAATATTCCTGTCTCCTCTATTCAGGACACAAGTACAGTCTTCATGGGAGCTATTCCCATTCTGATCCTTTGCACACAGGTCATTAGGCTCTTAGTTTCTAATACTGGAAGCTACCACCAAGGAGCCTGTAACAGGAAGGAAGCGTGGTTTTACCAAGGCTTCCTGCCTGTGGTGTTCTCTCATGCCCCAGAACAGGAAATATTCCTGATTCTGTAAGTGACAGGGGTAAACACAGTGCAGCACAGTACTAGCACAGTCAAGTCTAAGTACTGTGGCTGGCTCCTAAAGAAGGGCAAGGCTTAGCTCCTGCTGGAGAGATTTGGAAAAGGTGATAGCTGCTCATCACTGCAGGCAGAGTTACCCTGAATGCAAAAGCAGGGCTGCCCTTGCGAAATAGGCTCTCTTCCCCAAACCACTTGGTGTATTTACCTTTCTGGTAGCTCTCTGGAAGTCCAAAGTCTTCCTTGCTACAGAGGAGGTAATGAAAAGCATTGCATTGGGCATGGTTTAACATACCTTCCCTGCATCTACTCAAGCTAAGTCTGCATTCAGTGCCTCAGTCAAGCAACATGCCCCAACAGATGCCAAAAACTTAGAAAAACCCTGTCCTGGGATGATCTGTGCTCTGAGAAGAGGAGGAAGGTTTATTTAAATTAAAAAAAAAAAAAAAAAAGTGTCAAGGGGTCTGCATTTCAATGCCAGCCCTTGTCCCTAGCAATGCATTAGGAATCCAAGCTGCACTGCTTTTACACTGTAATATCTCTGGAAGACTATGAAAAGCAGTTTTGAGGCTTTGTGTTACAATGTGAATGCAAATAAAGAGTGTTTTGTCTTTTGTCCTGAGCCTGCAGAAAGGATAACAAATGTGCCAGCAGCAGGAGATAAGAATTTGAAAACAGTAGATGTGACAGAAGAGTTTAAAACCCTGTACAGGACCTGATAGAGCTGTGACAGGCAAGAGTCACCAGCAGCTTCATCTCCTCAAAAACCACCTCTCCCTCAGCATGGTGCACTAACTTTACATGGCAGAAAGAGGCCAGCCAAGCCACGCTGCAGCTACACGGTTCAGGATGGGCTCAAAGGGCAGTCACGGGATGTGGTGGAGCCCAGGAATTGTGAGCAGGGTGAATGTCTGCAGCACAGAGAGGTAAAGTGCAAGGGAGGCCAATGAGCAGTCAGGGATGTGGTGGGATGTGGAAAGATAGATGGGTCCTTTCCTAGCCAAGGGGGCACAAGAGTGTTTCTTTCCAGCAACAGACTTGCAAGAAAGCATCTTTTGAAGTGCAAAACAAGGTGCTAACCATCATGTCTGTGTGACACTTGCCCTGCTCTTCCCTCCTCTGGCCCCAGCCTCATCCTTGACAAGCAGGCAGGAGCTCCTGCAACTTTATTTAATTCAGAAAGTTCATCTTAAACAATCAACTGCGTTATCTACCATCCCCTTTGCAGTGCTGCACCCTCAAGACCCCGCTGCACATGGTACAATGCATTACCCCTGTCCGTCTGAGGAAACGGTAACTGTTTTTCCCCTCCCTTCCTTCAGCTGCTCAATTGTTTTGGCTCCGGAATGGAGAAAAAAAAAAACATACTCACCTATTTGGGGTGTGCCGAGGGCTGGGGGGCTCCCTGGGGCTCCGTGCGGGCAGCACTGCCTCGTTAGCTGCGGTTACCTCAGAGGTGTGAAAAGTAAAATGGCAGCTGGCGCTCCCCGCCCTTCTAAAATGGCGTCCCGCTCTTCCCGCCCTTTTCTGAGGTGCAACGGCAGCTCTTGGAAAGCCCCAGAGCCCCTCAAAATCCCTCTCAATGGCTTTCCTTTTGCAAGCAGTGCCCTTTATAGGCTTGCTAAACATGTGGTGTGTTTTTTTTTTTCCCTAATTGCAGCTTTATTTTTGCTTAGCACAACATCCTGAAAATCATTTTGCTGAAATGAGCTGCTCTGCAAAAGTACCTCCAGAGCCTGGCCAGGCATTTCTTGCATTGTGGCTCCAATGCTTTCTTTATCATTAGGATAAACCCAAAGGAAAAAAGCACTACTGGTTGTGTCCAAAGGGTACTCTGGGACGGAGCCTCCAGTGACTCTGTATTTTGCCATTGGTGCCAGGTAAGTGCTGAGAAGTAAATGCATATATAAAAATAATCATAGATGCTGCTGCAGCAGAATAGTGACTTCTGTGAGAAACTGCTGGCAGCTGACAGGTCAAGTCATGGCTGCAGCTTGCAAAAAAAATAAAACCTGAATTTGGTGTAGTGGGCCAAAGGAAAGCAGCAGGCTTGAGCAAAAGTCCTAGTAGGCTGCAGAAAAGCTGGTCAAATGCTGTCTTAGACTTTGTAGGCAACTTCTATAGAAGATGTTGTATCAAAGCTTACAGCCAACCAGCGCTCGCAGGGAGATGCTGCTCCCTAGACCCGCTCCTGAGCAAAGCATCTTACAAATTCCTTGTGACCGTGCGCTGCCCGAGGGCCGTGTTTAAAAAAAGCCCATTGCAGTCCGGATGACTGGCTCGGCACGGCGCTCGCTGCGGCACGTGGACGGGCACGGCAGAGCAGCAGCTACGAGCGGCACGTTGTTGGAAGCATGTGAGGGCTCACGGAGACTTGCCTGTGTGGAATGGACAGCCTTTCAGCGCACTCCTCCGTCCTCTCCCAGCGTCGGATCCGGATGCCGCGACAGCAACGCGGTGGGTAACTTGGCAAGCCCCGCAACACCCTGACCCCAGTGCCCTGGTGCCGTGGCCACAGACAGAGCAAAGGTGCTGTCACCACACTCAGCTCAAGAGGCTTTTGGTCCCAGGAGCTCCTGTGAAGTAGCCACCCGCTGAAGGTGATGCTTTTAGACCACTGCCTTGGTGAAACCAATGTCCTGCTCTCTTCCCATCACTTCTAGGGTTTATCTCAGGGGGAAAAGCCAGCCCGGGTAACCTGGTATTTCCAGTAAATGAGATGATAACTAAGAGTGAGAAGGGACAGGTTGGGGAAGGAGGTAGCACAGTAACAGCCTCGAGAAAGGGCATGGTGAGCCAGGAAGCCACTGACAGAGAAATAAGCAGGGAAACAGTGATTCAGGCTTCCTGCTAAGTGAGCCAGCGTTGAGGGGAGCAAAAGCTGTGTGCTCACCTGGTGTGTGCTGCCATAACATGGTGTCATAGCAGATAAGGCACCCTGTCCCTCTGTGTGCAGCCAGTGCTTACCTTACAGTGGCACTAGATGTCAAAAGTGTGACTGCTCCATCTTTACTAGGATTTGTCTTGGGCTAACCAAGCTGGCCGATGCACTTGGTCCTATGTAGAGCTGTATTCTGCCTATCTTCCTGAAGCTTTTCCTTGTGTCGCTGGGCACAAGGGCACAAGTCTGTGTATACTGGGCAGCTCAAAGCCCTACATGGAATGGTTCCCCTTCCCAAAAGGAAAACTGTCTTCTACTACTCATCTTAGTAGCTCTATGCTGTATGCTTTCTTCTCACCATCTGTGTCTCCTGTAAATGGCTCCTTCCTCCCATCTCATCATGAGAAATCCCCCAGGGAAACACATCAGCAGGAATACAGCAGCCTTGCATGTATGTCTGTGTGCAAGAAATATGCTGAGGGAGGAGGAGGAAACTTCATGAGCCACCAGGGTAAGGCCAGCTGTGTCTCCTGCCTGCAGACAGTCAGCAAAAGATGTACAGAGCTTGCCTGTCACTTGGCTCTTGTCCTGGCAGCCTCCCAACACTCAGTGCTCAGTGTTTCTCCAGGCTGTGCACTGGGAAAAGCCTTAGACCAAGGCAGTGCTGGACACTGCCTCTGGAGAGTGATGTCAGCACGTGTATTTAATAGGACCCCTTAAAAGTGCCAGAAAAAAAAAATGTGCTTCAGCTCTTAAAATTGCTCTAAGCACTTACGAATATTGTTTTTTAAACACAATTAACAAACCTCAAACATCTTGAGCTTTGTTCTCAATTCTTCTCCATTCTGGGGTTCCCACTAGATGTTTTAAGTATGAAAATATTTTTAGTAAATATGTCCAGTATGAATTACTGTTTGAGGCAAGATGTGTTTTGATTGGCTTGTTCTTAACATGCCCTAATTCTTAACTCCTGTTGGGGCTGTGCAGGGCAATGCCCTGCTCCATAGCACAGGTTGGAGAAGAGGTGGCCATGTAAATGGTGCTTGCTGCAGGTAACTTACTGAACTTCTACAATGCAGCCCCACAGCTGTATTTTCAGGTCTAAAGGCCTTCTGTATCCAGACCTAAGGCTCAGACTTGATGCAATAAGCTAACAAGGTGTAGCCAGAAACAGCTAAATTTTGCCCACAATGCTCCTGTTGCAAGAAAGCATGTGATTGTTTTGTAATGTTATATACCTGTGCTGAGAGCACATGAGGAAAACAAGGTAAGATAGGGGACGAGGGATTCATTTCTTTCTCTGTCAAAGGTACTTAAAACTGACCAAGCCAGTAGATGTAATTTTTAGTTTGTGTCAATTACCTGTCACATTCTTTTCTTCTGCTTAGACAACCACAGTCCAATTTTTGAACAAGGCTCTGCAAGGCTACTTCCTTAGTGATAAACTCAACACATCTTCACATCTTTCACAATAGAACTAGAAGCTTTAAATCACTTTTCACCTGAAGAGCTACGCTGTAATAAAAATGAAAATAACTATCACTTGCCTCATTATCAGATGCTTGTTTATACATGGTAGCACAGGTAGCACTTCTAGCAGGAATCCCTGAAATTGATGGACTGCAGAGCTCTGCCAAGCATCTGAGTTTCTTGTAAACACCACAAACCCACAACCTCAAGCTTTTTAGCTGGAACTCCTACAAGAGAAACAATTTTACAAACTTTTTTAGTAAAGCCTTATATACTACCTGCTTAGAGGGAAAGCTCTTCCTGCCTGAGAGCTGAGGGTAGGACTGACTGTCTTAGCCAAGGACTAACTACCTGGAAAAAGCAGTGTTGGGAGGTCCAAAACTATTCAGAGAAGCATGCCAGCTGCTTTTGATTTATTTTGGTGAATGTAAGGTGAAAAGGTTGCTGTAAAAAGATAAAACAAAAACTATTAAAAAAGACTTCTAAAAATCCTAAGCTTTTTCCTATTGTTAGGATTATGAGATAAAGGACAATTTAAATGCTATTTTTGGCTTGGTAATCATACCACTCCACTTTTTTGGGGGCCCACCTCCTTCCCCTCACCCCAAGTTTGGTGGTTTCAAAAGCATTAAAACACCAGGTTGGGCTGGATAGGAAATAATTTAGTAGCTCTTACCATAGGCTCATGCCTACCTAGTCAGGGCAAGAAGATGTTATCATTAGATATCCATGACTTCTGTGAGTTGGAAGAGAATATTGAATTTTAAATTAATGCCTCTTCTTGTATATAAAATAATTTCTGATGAAGTAGCTTAAGAAAAAGAAGATAGTCCCATTTTTAAAAAAAAAAAAAAAAAAAAAAAAAAAAAGCCTAGCCATACATTATCCCTTCAGAAATATAGCCTATAAAAAATGTCATTAAAGAACTTTCTCCCATCTCACTAAAATGACTTTAGGCTGCAGCAGTGACATGGATCATGAGTTTGATTATTTAAAAAATAAACAGACTTGCCCATGCAGTCAGTCCAGACCTGGATTTATTGCTTCGCGCTAGGTTGGACTCCTGAAATGCGGTTTCTTGTAAGTTTGAACTCCAGAATCATTTGAACACAAGATCCAGAAGAAAAAAGATTATATTTTCTTGGTCAAAATCTGCTCTGCAAGGGCTCTTACTGGTATATTCAGCATGTGTTGAAACAGGTTGAGGCTTCTTCTGGTAGCTCTTTATTATATTAAAAAAAAAACAACAAAAACAACAACAAACACCAAGAGATGTTCCAAGCTAATGTGTGACTATCTTTGGGGTTCCCTCTTTTTGTTAAGGTTTTTCACAAAATACAAAATTAAATGTCTTTTCTAAATAGAGAACAAAGTAGAATCAAGTAACTGATTAGAATATGTACAAAAACTTACACATTCCATCTTGTTCTTTAAAAAATATAAATATCATTAATTTTCAGGAGAACGGGTTGCTTTGATTTTTAAGGCTTCATTCTTTTAGATCCTTCATTATTTAACGACCTGTCAGGCAGGCAGGAAAAGGAGGGGAAGAAAGAAGGTCATGATTTTATTAAAGGTAACGTGTTTATTTCTCATGAGACTCTTCTTCATGTCTGGCAGGAGGAAATAGCTGAGTCCTCTCCAGATTGTTTTAGGTTTCCCAGAAGCAGAGGTGAAGGGAAAGGGAAATAAAATCTTTTTCTTCATGAAAAGTTCATTTTAAGCCTGTCTCCATTCATTGTCACTGTAGAGAACTTTCTGCAAAGGACTTGGATTAAATAGACTCAAGCAGGTGAACTTTACCACCTGTCCATCTGAAGGAGGTTAGAGAGAGGAGACCACTGGAGGTGTTTTACCCCCGACCCCGGCAGAGGTAGCAAGTGCTGCAGCTAGGGCAGCCGCTGCTGCTGCGTCCCTGGGCGTGAAGTCCGTGGGGAGGCTCTCCATCAGGCACTTGAGCTGCTCCTGACCCAGTTTGATCTTATCATCGAGCTCTCGCTGCTCTATGAGAAGTGCAGACTTCATCTTTACAAAGTGCTGGTAGTCCTGGAGCTGCTCCTCGGAGAAGTAGTTGCCCAGGATCTCCAAGACCACACGTTCTCGACGGTCAAGGTTTTCCTTTAGTTCCCGGGCGTCTTCGTGCTGGCCAGCCAGCAGCTTCCTCTTCTCGTTCAGAGAGCTCTGTGCATACCAGAGAGAGTGCTTCAGTATGAGCAGCACCAAGGTCCCTGATCCCCCACCCCAGCCCCTTCACACTGTGTTTGCCACCTCCTGGCGAGGCAGGAAAGCTGCCCTGCTCCCAGGAAGGCAGCCAGGAAGGCTCCCAGGAGCCTGCAGCCTGGCAGATGAGCATGAACATCCCACTGCGGATGGAACTCCAATCCTACTGAACCAGACACTGAATGCTTTAGTAAACATGGGGCAGAAAAGGTTCCCCAGAGAAACAGTAAAATGTGCTCAAACCCACGGCTCCTAGCACAGTCTGACCCTGTCTCCTGCAGCTATCCAAAGAGTGTTAAAACTGCCTCCAGCTGAAACAAGGGGCAGCAGGTTGCAAGACACACATCGCGACACAACCCCTCCTCTAACCGCTGGTCACTCACTTGCTGTCCAGAAACATGTTTGGTTCAGACAAGAGATGCTTATACAAATTTGGGATCAAGATTCATGGGCCAAGAACTGCATTTGCTAATGCTTATATGAACTGAACATACTGCTGAACAAACTTGCCCATCACTTTGCAGGCTGCGATCCAAGGTATTGTTGAGACCCCTTCAGTGCCCCGAAAGTTGGATGCCTGAGTAAGGTGAGGCATCCCTGAGCACCTCTGGAAGACGCAGCTTATACAACAAGCCCGTTCTTCTGCCTGCTGCTGTCCAGCTCCCCGAGCAAGGCCAAGATGCTACAGTTCTACACATACGTACCCGCTCTTCACTGTTGGCATTTTCCCCTAGGCTACTCAAAACGTTCTCTACCCGGGCCAGGCGTCCCGAGAGGGAGAGCAAGAGGTTCACCACCTTATCCAGATCTCCAATGAACATCTTGTATTTGTCAAACTCGTTAGGTTTGCACAGCTCGCTGATCAACTGCTCCACCTCCTCTCCAAGAGCGTTATTCATCCTTATGTCTGCAAGCAGGCCTTCCTTGGCTTCTTTCAGGATTTCCAGCTTGTCGGTCAAGCTCCTGATGAGCTCGGCCTGTCAGAAGAGAAACACATTGCCACGGTCATTATCATGATCACTCTGGTCACGTGGATGATGGAAGCAAGAAGATCCTGTTGTTGTCACTGAGAAGCAGGATCTGTTCAGCAACGGCTGACAAAAGAGACATCAAGGAGGGGAACAGAGAAGACGGAAAGTCAACATCAAGCTGACAACCTGAATACCTGAAATGGAGATATTTTCATCTAACCATCAGTTGGCATTTTCAAAAGACACAGCCAGTTTGGAGTGTCATATTCTGACACCCAGCTCCATAAATTAGACAGAAATAATCATATGCATGATTCTTCATAAATTGCTTTCAAGTCCTTGGCTGAAAACAGACATAGAGAGCTACATCTCTTGCATTGTCCTTGCTCCCTAACACAGCCTCAGGGTTCTTGTCTAGATGTTATGTTTTATACTATCCACTACTGTGTGAAACAACTAGTGGGAAAATTAACTTGAGATTTGTTATTAATAGTGTGATAAGTGACTGAGTTGGAACCTGCTACTTGCATATACTGAGCAAGAAAGAAGGAATCGCCACATTTATTTACAAATTGAAGCACTGATTGCTACTTTCTCTGCCATCTCAGCGTGGAGATGCACGCCTCAAATTCACCTCGGACCAAGGAAATGTTACCATTGCTCACTGACTGGGCAGACTCTACTTCATACAGAGATGCACCAAGCAAACATTTACACCAAAGATGCCCTAAATTTACTTAAGACTCTGAGCGAAGACACCGAGAACATGCACCCATTTTGTGAAAATGCTGACAACTACTTCACTGACAACGAAGTCCTCGGGGTTTAGTGACTGCAGAACCATCCATTTTGCCCCAGTGCTGGGGATGCTGATATCTGCTAGGATTTAGGGAAAAGATGAAGGCAAATCCAGAAGTCTGTGGCCTGGAGCTTGCAATTCCTGCTTCCATCTAGCCCCAAGTAAGAACACATAAGTCTCTTGATACAAGGCCTGGGTATGTTCAGTCTTTTCAGTTTTTGCATTGAAGAGCCATCATTATGTATGTGTTAATCYACTGTGCATACAAACACTGCAGCATGAAACTGGAGTAAGTCACAAGACCACCTGAAAAAAAAAGTCTCCACATTTATCTTTTTTTTTTCCCATCAAAGCTGTTGGTAATTTCAAGCAGGAAGGTGTTGTACCTCAAAGGAAAGAGGATCTTCAAACACAGGTCGGGCCGAGAGTTGCTCTGAACTGGCCCTTATGCTCAGGGCTTGCCTGCCTGCGTGGTGTTTAGCCAGGCACCACTAGATGGTGCCCCTTGCATGCATCTTCTCGAGGGTGCCCTTTTTCAGGATGGGCTGCAACTCGGTGCAGAGGCACAGAAGCTGCAGAAAAGGTGAATAATATGCTCTTAAAGCAAATCTCAGCGTTATGCTACCATAAACTGCTAGGCTTACGCTGGAATGACTGCAAAACCGTGCCGTTATTTAGCAGGGCTGTTTGAGGGAGGTGACAGCAAAGGTAATACTATTATCCTACCTGCCAGGATAAGGGACAGACAAAATCCTTTTATCTAGATTTTTCCCTCAATAGGGCAGGTAGTACCCAGGACAAGGAGCAACCCCTCCCCGTGTGTTCACAAACTAGGTTCTCCTGAGGCCCACAGAAGCAGAGCTGCGGGCCGCTCCAGATGCTCTGCAGGAGGCACAGGCCTCCTTTTCAGGAGGCTGCACCGAGTGAAGCACCCTTGTTCTGAAGGGCTCTGAGCTGCAAGGAGACTGCAAAGCATTTGCTTTAGGCTGATTAATCAGTGACTCTCCTGTAATCCCAAATGCCAACCAACATAGTTCCTTTGCATATTTACAATGGAAATGAGCTCGGTTTACCCAAATGACCCTCAGAGTAGCTGCCTTCTCAGATAATGCCTATGCTAATGTTACTTCACACAGACCATGAGCAAACATGCCAAGACAATCTCCCCAACTGGACCTAATTGCTCCAACCTACTTCTGTTTTTCCATGCAAATGTAACCTTTGAGGCCTGGGACTTGTCCCACAGCAGCAGGCTCATGCCTCCTTGCAAGCCTGTCACATGCCTGCGGTTTACAGCATATGGGACTTGCTGTCCATACTCGTATCCTATGGGACATGCTGTCCATACTCGTATCCTTCAATACACCTAAGCTCTGCTGTTGCACAAAGCTTCCTGCTAAGTCACTTGTCCCTGTTTCTCCCCCGCTTTGGGCAGGGACAGCCCCTTGCAACCGATACGCTCAGCAAGTGGCACAGTACAGGTCAACYCGAGGCTCGTGCCACATTTGCAATGAGCACTTGGAGAACGACTCTCCACTCACAGACACGTGAGGTACAACCAGGTATGACCTACGTTGTCCTAATGAAGCTTCACATGTGGTGTAAATGCACCCAGCTCCCATGTAACGTGCAAGCACGACATCCAAATGCTGACCTCAAGGGAAAATGCACTTCTTTATGACTTATTTCAAGAAAGTAACCAGAAGGTTGTGGTGCGTGATCTGAATTTACCTTTTTCTCGTTGATGTCTAGCAACTCCTCCTCCTCACCTGCTTCTTCTGGCAAGTCTTTGATTTTATTCAGCAGTTCTGCTTTGGGTGCTGAAACGTTGTAATAAGCAGGGCAGGGGACCAGAGTTACAGGCCCTTCCTTCTCTTCTCTCCTATCACAACAGAGAAAAAGGAGTTTAGTTTGAGCCTCACTTTTCCCTGTGCCTGGACCCAGGTTTTTTCAGCACCTGCTCTTTGACAACTTCTCAGTGTTACAAGCCACAAAGGAAATGGCCAGTTCTTGCCATCAGAGGGTGCACGTCAGCTGTTCTCAAATTTGTCCACTGCAAAAACCACCAGCACAGCTGCTCTGCTGTTTAAAGGCTGTTTAGTTACCAGCTCCAAACAGAAGGTTGCTCTGTGGAGATAAATCCACACAGCTCAGCGAGTGATGGCTCGGCTGGCCCTTTCAGCTGCATCAGGCATTACCACTGAATTCAATACAGTTCTGCWGCTATCACTTGTGGTCCTAGGAACCCATCTTCACCTTTGCATCCCACAGCAGGAAGTGGTAGGCACTTCTCCCTCCAAACCTGGGCCTCTCTTACYTGCTGCAAGCCACTGGTTGGGCTTGATTTTACTCTCACATCTATTATCTTGGTTTAGCTGCTTCAGGTTACAAGGGTTATGAGAGCAAAATCAAACAAAATCTCTAGAGAGCTCAATTCACGCCACCTACCAAGCTGAGAATCATTTTCTCCACGGTCTCGAGAGGTGAGGTCTAAGAGCACACACAGTCAAGGTAGAGAGAAACAGCATTCAGAAGCGCCCTTTCAGGCCTGTGCTGGGGGACTGAGGACTGCTCTCTCCAGCAGTGCCTTTCTACAGCAGAGAGCGAGAATTTGGCACAGAACTATTGCTTGTCCTTAAAAGCCAACAACTCGAACAGACAGTGCTTACTTGTCATCTCCAGGAGCTGTCCTAATAGCTGTTTTCTGTGACATCTTCCTTTTCATGTTGTTCTCCTTCAGCAAGCTGGTTCCACCGGGGAAAAGCCCTTCCATTAAGTCCATGGTTGTCTTCATTTTGGAATCCGGGTCCAAGATATCAGCCAAAGACTTATCTTTGTGGATGATTTCTTTTGCTAGAGCCTCTGACTTGATTTCCTCTGGGGTCTTTATCTTCGCCTTCACAGGAGATGCTGGGCTGACTGTCCTGGAGTCCACGCTGCCGTTTTCTGACTCTCCAGCAGCGACTGCCGGCTCCCTGCTTTTGCCTTCGGGTTGAGTTGTGGGCTGCCCATGAGAGCTGTGAGACCCTTCAGAAGAAGCAACTAACTGGTGCTGCTTATCCACAGCAGACGGAGAGCTAGTCCTCTTTGATGCAGGCCAATTATCTTCACTGATAGCGGTGCCCAGGCCCAGCTCCTTCTCGACCAGGGCTTTGGGAAAGCCTTGGAAGTTGCTATGGACAGAAAACTTCTGTGAGATGAAGAAAAACTTACTGCATAGGATCTCTGTGAACACATGCTAACGACCTCACACATGCTGAAGGCATCTAAGCTTTCCTGCTCTCTCACCCATTTTTGTCTCTTTGCATTTCAATGCAGAAAAGACCACACTGCAAAGCTGAAGGCGCCACAACTAGTTTACTCCCTAGGCACTGCTGTTTGTTATTCCAACAGAGACAGAACTAGTGAGTGCCCCTATGAGCAATCTCCACTCATTGTCCTTTTCATATTGGAAAAGCAAATCGGTACCACAGTCTCGGCCAGATTCTTCCCTAATGGAAATCAGAGAACTCCTTGGCAGGGAGGGAAGCTGAGTTAAACCAGCCGGGCATCTAGCCCAAACTCCTACCCTTCAGGAAAAATCCCCTACACTAGGTTACTGTGGCATATTGATGTTGTCACTTCTTGGCATGTAGTCATTATTTCATAACAGGATTATTTGGTGCCAGGTCTGCAGTGTACTCTGCGAAACTCCAGTGGTTTGGAAAAACATGAGTGTTCATTATGGGATAGTCCTCTCTCAAAAACCAGTAACTGGAAGGAGTCAGCAGCCACTTAGACTGTTCATGTTGGAACGAGTGAAAAGAAATCCCCCTGAAATCCACAGGGAATGCAGGGGGACCGAGAGCAGGGTAGTTTCTCACTCACRGCCCCTTCTGCCCTGTCTGCTAAGCACCTGTCAGTACATCTGCTGGAGGAGCACGGAGCTTTATGCCCTGTCACGGCCACGCCACGCGACAATGCTCTTGGCAAAGCCTGGTGGTGGCGAGGCAGCCCGGCTGTCCCCCTCCGCTCACGCCGTGCGCGCTCTGCCACGAGTCCCACGCTCAGCCAGCAGCTGCGGGCGGGTYGCTGCGGCATGTAGGGCTGTGCAGGCCAGTCACATTTGGCTGCAGCCCTGCATATCTTACTCTATAAGGCCCTACAATGCCTGACCCACCGTGTTTCAGCTCCCCCTTACCTCGCTTTGGCCTCCTCCGAGAGCCTGGYGGATTTGTCTCCAGCTGCCCCGTTCCCCTCAAGGGCTGCTGCAGGGGGAGGAGGTGGGAATTCCTCCGTGCCGTTTGCTAAAGTGCAAGGGCTCAGCTCGGGAAGAGGATGGGGTGGCAGAGGAGATGAGAAAGGCTGAGCACCAATGCCAGGCTGAGAAGGAGCAACAAACACCTCATCATCTTCATCATCCTGCAGCACTGGTGGTGGCGTAAGCTGCAGGCAGGACTCTGAGATCCGGAGATGGTTTATCCCGTGGGGAGAAGGAGTCTCGGGGTCAGAGGAAGTGCTGCTCTGGGTTGGCGGGTACTGCCACCTCTGGGAGAGCTTCGGCCCAGCTGCTGGAGGAGACACCACGGCCCTGGGGAAGCTGCCATCCTTGACCGCATGAGCCCATGTCACCTTGTCAGGCAGGGATCTCTGAGGCAGCCCAGCTTTCCTTCTCCACACCATTTCCTCTGTGGGAGTCTCAGGGGATCTATCCTGGACAGCATCCAAAGAGTGTGCCTGAGTAACACTGCTGCCATCAGCGGGAAGAGCATCTCGCCTGGCATGGTGCTGTCTCGGAGCCAGGACATCTCCCACAGAGTGCAAGTCCGAGACCGTCTGGGTGGGCTTATGAGGCACGGACTGACCAGATCCAGAAGGACTAAGGTCAAGGAACAGGGGTTTAAAGCCCTGTTTTGGGTCAGGGTAGTGACTCCTTGCCTCTGTCGAGGATGGGACAAACGCAGAAGTCCTGCCATCCTGCCTGGAAGGCTCTGAGACCTTGAGGCTCTCAGTTAGTGCAGAGGAACTGGCACCAGCCTCACGGTTGTGCTGAGGATGAGGGTAATAGCTTGTGAATGTCATTTTTTCAGAGTGGCTTCTTTCCTTTCTGCTGACAGACCTGAAAACCAAGAGAYAGACTGTGATAAGGCTAAAAGTTAATCAGTGAGCAGGCCGAGCTATTGCACAGCCCCTTAAAAGGCAAATTATGCAGCCACGTCGGAGGCCTGCGGCAGCGCCTGCCGAGCCAGGCACCGCGCTGCTGTGCTGCTGGAACTGGAGGCAAAGCCCCTCTCCCAAACCTAGGGCCACAGAGCTACCACCACTGCCACCTCCTCCAGAGCACGTCAGATCACACGCACATTTGGGGAGCATCACAGAAATATGTAGTAGAAAAAACCCACACTTTGGTTATTGTTTTGAGACTCAGCTGTCAAACATACAAATAAGAGTGTGAATAATACAATTTTGGACTCTAGGGAAAATGAATGTGTTCTGCAGATYCAAGGTTAATGAATCTTTTGATCCACCTCTAAAGTTCAGAGTTTCTCCTACCATCTATATACGGAACTTCTAAGTGCCTGGATTATTTTCCAGCCTCATTTTGAATTTTATTTACTAAAGACAGGGCAGGTAGTGATTGATACAAGGAAGACTATTAGATATTATCAACTACTAGACCCTATTCTCAATTACTGGCAGTTTTGACCACTTCAGCGTATGGGCCAAAACTTCTCCTTATTCTGTTTGCTCCTTTTGGAAAGCTGCCACTAAAATGATTCAGTGATCCTCAAGAAGAGAGTGAGACAAAAGCAGCAATATTTTGATTGTTGACAAGAGGAAAAAAATCTTAAAATCTGGGAATTCTGTTAGAAAAAAGAGCACTATTCAGATAGGGTGGTGTTACAAAAAAAAACAATGGCCGTTACAGCCAATAAACTTGATCTGAAGCAGGACACCAAGGCTGCAAATTCAATGGATTAAATTATTCTTTCCATCTCTTAAAAGATGTTCTATGTGACAGTGAGGAAGACTGGCTGGTCTAAGGCTCCTGCTTGGAAAACATAGTCAAACTTACGTGCCTGTATAGCTACTGAGCTGGCAAACAAAATGAGCCATAAGACAATAGTGCTAGCAAATCTAAGAGAACACAGTTCAAAAACATGAGCCACACTGTAAAACAACAAAATACAATAAAGAATACTGCCAATATATTTGCTGTTCTCAAGATTCATATCATCTAACATTATCTATTCATGATGTTTGAGACTTGGGGCGCAGATTTGATCCAAGATGTACTGGTACAAATTAAGATTAATTTTGTCAAAGACATGGGTTGTTCCGGCTTTATTCTGGTATAACTGAGAGTAGAATTTGGCAGCCTTTGCCTGGGAGTGGGGACGCTTCCCAGGCAGGCGGCTCTTGGTATTGCCTGTGGATCCTGGGCAGTAGCAACGCGTATTCTTTTCAGATAGTCAGTGTTTGTCAGAAGAGCCAGATGGTAATTCTCTAATTTCCCCTACTGCGGAGGCAGCTGCTGAGCCTCAAACTGGTGGCAGGACGAGTGCCTTGGAGGCGGCYGTTGCGCGTCGCCGGCAGAACCGCGCACAGGCACACAGCAGCTCAAGGCTCTGAGCCCAGGGACTGCTACCAGGAGCTCTGCAGCTTCACCACTCCATGGATTTCCCTCCTCTGCCATAATAGGCACATCCCAGGGGAACCAATTAGCCTAATTCATGCAGCCCGCTGCTGCCTCCCTGAAGAGCCCCTACACAGGGTATGTAGCAGGCAGGGATGGGATGGAGCTGGTTATAGCTCAGAGGAGCTGCCAGAAAACCAGCTCATCTGGCTGGCAGTCACAGGACAGCAAAGACTGCACCTCTGAAGACATGCTACCTTCTGCCAAGACCCTCTCACAGGCCCTGTACGAGCCCAGCTGTGTCGTACTTGCTCACCCTGGGGTGGTGGAGAGCTCTTGCAGAATCCTGAAAGTGGCACTTCTTGCGCTAATTGCTGCCATGTGCATACGGTCCTGTCAGTTTTAGAAGAAAAGGAACCAAAACACCTGTGTCTTTTTCTTAGGAAAGAAATGGAAAGTTACTCTAAACCTAAGCAAAAGGGTGTGTTTGAAATAATCATAAAAGGGCATGCCTGGAGGCAAAACAAGTCCCTCCAGAATGACATTTATGTCATCCTAAGCACAAATATTGCCAGCCAGAGGGGGAACTAATATCCAGCCAGACTAGGAGCCTGCCTATACGTCTGGGGGTCAGTGCCCAGCCCAGTGCTGCGTACAAAAACCTTTGGAGCCCACAGAGGTAATTCCCAGGATGGCAGCAGAGCAGGAAGACACTTTCTGCAGTTTTCGGAGGAACGGAGCTCCTTTCTGAATAATTACTTTAGTCCTTCTTTTACTGTTACAAGAGTTAGCTGCTTGGGCACTTACAGCATAGAGCAAGCATCTATTTACTATTTATATATAAATACAACCGGATCAACTTCAGTTSTACTTAATGTCAAAACAACCCACTGCTAAGTAGTTTCATGGTTACATATGCTCTAATATTCTGCGCTTTGTGTTTACCCTCTTCTATTTTTAAAAACATATCTCTCTCCTATGACGCTGAGCAAAATATTCAAGTTGCACAACAGAAAGCAGCCTAAAGGYCAAGCCCCATGCTCAGCAAGACACTTGAGATCTCCCCATGTCAGCCCATGCAAACGCTCTCTTCCTTCTGGGAAGGCAGCACCGTGCACTGGGGGAAACCACAGAGAGTGAAACATCAAGGTATTTTTCCCTTTTAGGATCCTTCAGTTAGAAAAACCTCTGGACATGACTCCTAACAGCAGATCGACCTGTTTTGGAAGGCAAGTAATTTGACTGTTGTTGCAGAAACCTGCCCCAAGATGACATGACTGGAGAGGAGAAATTTATAGTGAATGGATGTCTGCTGTGAAAATAAATGGCTCACAGCAGCTTACTCCCTCTAACTGCTGGGTGGAGCACACCCAAAACTGCACACCCCAAGCTGCATCCACGTAGATGTTTTCTCTTGTTTGTGACAATTCAGCCACTTACATGGGCAACAGATGGCAGCTGTTACTGGTGGCAGGACGGCAAGAGCCAAGCCTGCAGTGACAGAGGGGACATCAACATATTCTTACCTGGCTCCTGCACTGATCATGTAGAAAGGATCTTTCACCGCGGAGCCAAATTCMCTGGCTTCCCTTCTCAGCAGGTCCTGGAGCACAAAGACACCATTAGCAGCAAGCAGAAAACAAAGCAAAACAACAAAACACTGTTGCCTTCTGGTAAGAAGCCCCTGTGTGCCACTTAGTGTTGGGCACGGAGTGTACCCAAGGGTATCCATAGGACCTGTGTGTTCCCCCTGGTTTAGATGCAAGGAAGAAAAGGCTGTCTTTGAAATGGCCTTAACTGGGAAAACTGAGCAGCCAAGTGCCCGACCTCAAGCAGACAGAAAGGCTGATTGCCACCAAGGCTTGAAACCGCAGCCATAAGCGGGGCTGCTGAGAAACGCCASGGAGTCTGGCACTTGGCTCCTCGGAAAGTCTAAGCACAGATGCACAAATGTCTCGGGATCTACTTCCCCTTTAGGCATTTGATTCATCTGAAACTAGAGAAATTCTGGGGCTGAAATACCTTTGTAAATCTGACTCTCCCTCCCCTGGAGCTCCCATCATCAAACACCAGGCTATTAGGAGACATGAAAGTGAATGCCAAGCATGCTTCCTAAAAGGCTGGCATTCTCTCACATATGATCTTTTTGGCACCGAGCCCTTCTGTGCCCCCTTCCCCACGCTCATGGCATTGCTTTTTTGGTCAGCAGAGCGGGGGGAAGCACCTGCCTTGATTTAGGAGCCAGGGCCCTGGGAGCCGCGCAGGCTGAGACAGAGCAAAAGAGCCAGGGGTGAAGGAGGCAGCACCAGCCTCCTGTGGGCTGAGACCTTGCAGCCCCTTGCCGCTCAACTCCCATGTGGCTTTATGCTAATTCCTGAAGGGACATTGCAATGTGATTGACATGCAGCCTGCAAAAAACCTCTATACACTCTATAGAAGACCCTGAAAAATATACAGAGAAGTAGTGAAGCCTGCTGCTAAAATGCGAATGCGTATTTCACACAAAAGATCTGAAAAGGCAAAAAAAAAAGTCATCACCCTGTTGTTTTGGCTGCGGCCCCTACTTCTACAGTAGGGTTTTGTATTGGAGCCAGTTCAGAGACAAACCTAACCTGGAGTCAGCCCCCAACAGGTAGAAGCTCTAGTTTACTGCTGCACTTTCGGGAGACCAAAAATGAGCCAACGAGGGGAAAAAAGGGATCTCAAAAACCTCCAATCTGTCCCCTGCCCAAGAGAGCAGATAAACACGAGCTAGGGCTGCTTGCTGCCCAACCTCTCACTGAAAAGCACATGTCTGTTTATTTTTCTTGCTGCTCTGGCTGTACTAGTAGGCAGAAAAAAAGAGTTGCAGTTTGGCTCTCCCCCTAACTCTTTTTTAAGGACTGTCTCTTTACAGAACACAAAAAGCTTCACGATGTGCAAGCGTGACAGAGTGGCGCACATGAGCCTGGGGTCTGGCTGCTGGGGAGGAATCTCAGTAATGGGACGAGAGATCAGTGGTGACGGAAACGTGCTCGGTCACTCGATCTGCACAGGCTGCCTTTTAAATGCTATTTTCAAGCGCAGTGTGGGGTCTGAGGCCTTTCAAGAGAGGATATTTAGAATGAAGCACGGAGTGGATCTGAGGAAAGTGCTCGTCCTCCCTGCTTCAGTTTGGCCCATCTCTGGGGCGCAGCAATGGGGTCTATATCTTGGGTTATGTTACCCCACAGAGGGCACCTTTATTAATAACTTGCTTTAGGCTGAGAGTAAGTGTAAGTGCTGACAGGGACATCCTCAATCTCACCTGCCTTTTAGGTCTGTGCGACCTGTTGAACACCTGGAGTACATCTGGAGCAAGGAGCCTGCCCCCGTTTTGCTTTTCCCTCAGTTTGTGCATCATGAATAGAGCCTGATGCAAAAATGGGCAGAGGGGCCAGACCTCTGAAGTAAAATAGTGTGTCCAATCAGCCACAGTTACCAAAGCAGGTCTGAAGAGATGAACCAGCTGAAGAGCTAGCCTTGGCCTTTCTCCTCCAAGAAGCTTGCCTGCTTCTACTATTTACTGTCATCAGAGACAGTCAAATTCCCCGCCTGTGACATCAGCCTCAAGTTCCCAACCGGCAAGCGGGGAGCGTGAAGAGCGCAGCCAGGCTCTCCACCGCAYGCAGCCGGGCTCCTCCAGGGCTGGAGGCAACCACGGGGGCTGCTCAGCAGTCTTCCTGCTTCTCTGGGGAGCAGTAGCCCACCCGTAAGCATTTAAAATAGCATAAAGCCAACTACATGGCAAAAAACAGCCTGTATCTCCACGTGCATTTAACCTGCCTGCAACCAATCAAACAATGGCCGTGAGTGAACATGGGTCTGCTCTCCAGCATCCTCCCCCTGCGTTCCAGAGCCCCACTTGCCCAAGAGCACCTTCTGCTTGCCACATACCTGGTGCTTCTTCACTGCTATGGGAGTGGGAGACGACCGTGAGCGTATATGCACCGTGACTGTCTGATTGTCGTATCTATCAAGCAAGTCTTCCACGGACACCGATTTACCAGATTTCCTGGCAGAGGATGGTGTTTCCAGGACCCGCTCCTGCTTCCCATGGCAAGGCAGGCCCTGCAAGCCAACAGTGTCTGTGTGCGTGGCTTTGGCGAGCTCCGTTTGGGCCCTGTAGCCCCGGGACCTGTCCATCTTCGGGCGGCTTAGGATTGAGCTGTCGTGGCGCCCTTTCTTCTGCTCATCTCCATTGAGGTCGAAGCACCCCATCAAGCCAGGAGGAAGGGTAGAAGACACCCGTGCCGTCCTGGGTAACCGCTCCAGAGACTCCCTGCGGCGGTAGAGGTTGTGGTCCTGCAGGGAGTTCATGCTGGAGGCAGAGGAGAGGCTCTGGCCGTCCGGGCCGCCCGGCTGCAGGTAGGAGCTGTGCGAGCGCTCCCGCAGCAGCGCCGTGTCCTGAGAGGACGGCCGCCGGCCCGTCTTGCGCTCGATGTAGTCRGCGAGCGCGTTCTGCTGGAGCTGCTTGAGCTCGGGCTTGGAGAGGCTGGCTGCGGAGGAAGCTTTGCCGTCCCGTTCAAAGATCTTGCGCCGGTCAGCTACCGTGTTCTCCGGGAAGAYGAAATGGAGGCCTTTCTTCTGGAGGGAGAAGGGCGACGGCTCGCTATCGGAGATGCCCACCTCGTTCATCTTCTCCGGCTCCGAGTAAGACCGCTTCTTCTGCTCCGCTGTCAGCCGCTTGCGGCCCCCGATGCGCACGACGTGCTGCGCCCTGGCGTAGTCCAGGGCCGAGAGGCTGCTTTCTGTTGGCGTCACGCTGTGCCGCTCCTTGGGTGTGTGGGGAGAGGACGCCGTGCTCCTCATGCCCACGTGGGCGGAGGCAGGCCGCTGGGTCACCCTCTTGGGGGCATTCCCAAATGGGGGGCTGATGCGCCGGAAGGATGTGGCCCTCAGCACCCTGGACTGAGCATCTTTAATGCTGTTCCTGTAAGCCCTGTTGAACGGCGAGTCCAGCTGCGAGCCGTGGGCATCCTGGATGTTCTCCTTCCAGAGAAGCTCCTTCTCGGGCTCCCCTCCCAGCTGGAAGGTGCTTTTGCTCCTCGGGAGCTGAGCCGCCCTCATTTGCATCTCGTGTTCAGCGCACACGTTGAAGCCCTCACTCGCCCTGGGCTGCTTCGCCACGGCTGCCAGCTGCAGCTCCCCAGGGTGCCAGTCTGTGTCTTCGGGCTTCCCGCTCCTGCTAGAGGGCATGGAGCCGCGGTCTGGCTCCCTGGGCAGCTCACCGGCCTCCCGCGAGCCCAGCTTGGCCCGCACGTCCTCGAGGCCGCCCAGCACGCACACAGTGCCCGCGGGCTGGCTTGGCCGGCTCGGCCCGTAGTGCTGCCCGAAGGAGGGAAGCCCTGCGCTTTGGAGCCGCTGAGAACTTTGCTCACGCTGCTCGAACTTGCTGACCTTCTCCAGCACAGAGCAACGGAGCTTGCCGGGGTCTGGTTTGCTGTAGGGAAAGCTCTGGGTGCCGCTGGAGCTGAGCCGGCTCCTCCCAAAATCTGAGGTCTTGGAGTGCTGTGGGGAAGGGGGCTCTTCGTCCTTTGACTCAGCAGTGTGGAACGGGGTCGTGCTCGTGCTGGCCTCCCCCTGCCTCACAAGGCCTTGCGGCTCCGCGTCACCGAACTGCTTGTGGCCCTGTGCCCTGAGATCCTTCTCCTCTTTACCACTGCTGCTCAGAAAGGACAGCTTGGTGCTGGAATAAACCTCACCTGGCGGCATCTCTTTTGGTTCGGAGCTGCCTGGCATGTTCTGCAAGGAGGTGCAGCCGTAGTGCCTGTCCCCGCTGTGAGGCCAGCGGGGCTGAGCCGCAATCTCTTGCTCCTTTTGCTGGGGGTTGCCATTTTTGTCCTGCTGGGGCTCGGCTGCCCGGTCCTCCCGGGGCTGGWAACGCGCTTTTCCCTCGCTGGCACCCCTCGGCTGCAGTGGCGGGGCGGCACCGGTGCCGTCCCACACGGCAAGGGCCTTGTACAGCGGAAGCGACTCCTGTTGTGCCGCGGGCCCGGGGGCACTGGCAGGTTTCTGCTGCACAAGTTTCGCCRCAGCATCCTGCTTTTGCTCACCGGCTGGAGGCTGGTAAAACACAATTGACCTGGTGCTAGTGCTTTGGTTTCCATTCTCATCGAAGTCCAGGGGGCTGCTGGYGACAGCCTTGTCGTAGGAGCCTGGAAGAGGTGCGGGGTAGCCACTTTCTTTGGCCAGAGCGGGGTAAAGGGTCCCGTTGCTGCCTGCAGAAGGCTGCGGCGCCTGGGCGTAATGCGGCTCTGGGGAAGGGACTGCGTAGACCCCAGTCGGCAGCAGGGGCTGCCCCGGCTGGGCCGCCTGCGAATAGCTCTGCTTGGGCTTCACCGTGGGGCTGCTCTCCGGGCTCTTTTCCAGCACCGTGTGCAGATGCCCATCTCCAAAGGGGGTCTTCAGCAGGGGTCCCTGGGAGAAGCTGCTGAGAAGGGGAGGCCAGGCACCCTTTGGCTGGGTCCGACCAGGCTTGCTGGGCTCAAGGCCCGAGCACAAGCCGGGCCTCTCGTGATGCCTGGTGGCTGCGTAGCTGTCGCTGCGAGCGGGTGGCAAGGGAGGTCCCTTCGGGGGCTGGCTCTCGGTGTCCGGGGAGCTGCGGCCTGGCTGCAGCCGGCAGGGAGCTGCGCCGTGCCGGCCGAGGCCCTGGAGCCGGCCGTGGCTGCGGCCGTCTGCTGGTCGCCGGCCCTCGGAGCTCGGCAGCAGCGCGGACGGCTTCACCTCGTACTCCTCGGAGACCCCTCGCTGCGCGTCGTACACGGTCTTGATGTACCTGATGTCCGCCTGCCTCATGCCCTCTGGCGCGCTGCCTCGGAAGTGCACGTTGTCCATGGAGCAGGAGTGCTCCTTGCTGAACGGAGCAGCGGGGTACTCAGGGATGCTGGAGTTGGTGGAGAAGGAGCTGTAGGCTGAGTCTCTTTTGCTGTGGAGGTGCGAGAGCTGGTCAATGCTGTTGGTGGACTTGGCTGGGGACAGGTGACAAGGGTGGTAGCCAGCGGAGGAGTGGTCCAAGCTCTCCATGCTCCCCCGGGAACTGTACTGGTCAGGACTTCTCCTCAGATAGCCATGCTCGTAACCAGAGAGATCGCTGGTGGATGAGCTGGGGAAGAGCGAAAGAAGAGTAAAGACCAACTGTCAGCAGAGGAGAGGCACGACCACTTATAAGTGAGCTCAGAAGCAAGATGTTTAGCTTTGAGGACTGCAGATTAAAACCCATATTTGGGCCTTACTCCATTGCCTGTTTGCAGTCATCCCGGTTCACAAGGAGGAACTGCTTGACATTGCAACACATGGCTCTTATTTACCAAGGAGGTGGGAGGGAAATACAGACAGAAAGGCGGCGCATCTCTGGAGCCAGGGAAGATCAACCCCACCCATCAAACCTACCCACAGCACTTGGGAAGCTGAATGAGTGCTGACGGCACCGAGGAGGAGGAGAGGAGCACAAGAGGCATGCCGTGGGGGGATCTAATCTCTCTCTTTTTTTTTYCCTATTTCATTTCTTTTTATGGAGATGAAGGCTATGCCCTGGCAGGCTTCCTGGAAATTCAGCTGTCCCTGGGACAGTTTGTTTGCTGCAAGAAAGCTAAACAGACAAGACCGAGAAGAGATGAGTGTGTTTGTGTATGGAGGCAAGTGGGGGGTGCAACCAAACTGCCCCTTTGAGAAAGTCCCAGCGAGTCTTTGAAGCCACCTCACCGAGCACTAAGCAGATACAGGCACATTGGGACACTTGTCAACATGATTTGGCAGAGGGCTCAAGTCCTCCAGAACAAAAGATATTTGGGGATCTATTGGCTGGAAGGGAGCTCCAGGCATGGTCACTCCCTCCTTTCCAAACTAACAAGGCCGAAGAGTAGAGATGGAGGGAGAAGCTGCTGAGCACAAGGAAAGGCCCAGGGGACCTGCCTGCTGGGCGAAGCAGGACGCAGATCTGCAGAGAGATGCGGAGGAACCCAGAGATGGGCAAAACTTAGGGTAAATCTGCTTTACTCATTAAGAGGCACTGCTCTATTTTAATAATAATAAAAAAGGATGTGCCTGGCAATGACCAGTGCAGCACTGACTGACTGACCACTAGATGTTCCCCAAGCTCCTCTTCAGCTATGCTGGCTGCCAGTGCCAGCCAAAGGCTCTGCCAGCTGCAGCGAAGCCCCTCGCTGGCAAATGGACAGGCTGCAGGGTGAGCTGTGCTGAGGGCTGCAGGGGAGCACACATTTCTCCTGTAATTCTCCCCTCACTTTTTTTCTTTTATGCCCTGTTTTCTCTTTCCTGCTCCCTGCTGAGGCTCGGTCTCACCTGTACAAGAAGGGAAGTTCAAATGCCAGTGGCTATGGGGACATTTCCTCCTCCTGACACTCTTCTGCCTTTCCAGGGAAAATTCTCCTCGGTAGAATTTGAACATGTCCCTCTTATGCTGCCCCCAGGGTGTTGAGGGGGCTTTAGGGGCTGCCCCCAGCAGCACTCCTGCTTCCAGCCTGCTCTGCCACCCTGCACAGGCTGCAGGGGCACCCCAGCTTATGGGGACACAGCCTCTACACAAGTCAAAATCAAGTGTCTCACACTGTGTGCTTTTCCCAGCGCTAACACCCCTAGTTTACACCAGCCACTGCACTGACTCCTGAGAGAAACACACGTGCACATAAGGTTACGATAAAGCTGACCCTGCAGAAAGCAATTGCCCAAACCAGGAAATCCCTTGCTGAACTTCTCACCCCAGGACTATGTGGTCAGTGCTGCAACCTTGCTGGCTGTTGCCTTGCTGTTGCTGACAGGCACATTACCCTGCTGCCTCCTTTATTATTTATTCTTTAAATAAACGTATTTTGACTTTAGATGTCCAGGTAACCCAACAGGAACTTAAAGCCCTGCAAAGCCCTGCTTTAACTATGGCTGTCTGTAAACCCGWCAGCTGTAGGGAGGTGACTGAGAGTATTTTGCCCACAAATCCTTTGAGCCCTTCCTCCATTTCTGTGCTTTAGACTTAGGCCCTGATCTCACAGTTAGCACCATCAAGACAGAGTCTCGGGCAGAAGGCAGAGCCTCCTTGAAACCAGCATTATGCTGGAAACAGGGACAGTGGCAGGACCAGGGGACCTAGGTTAGAAGAACATTAGCTTGGGAGACAGATTGAGGGGCTGCAGGAAAACCATTTTCCTAGAGGGGAGCAGGAAGTGCTTTTCTTTGCACTGACAAAGGAGGGGAAAGCACAGCAGACTGCTTCACATCTCTGCCTCTGCAGCGCATGGCCACAGGCGCGTGGTGCTTACCTGGAGTGGTAGGACTGGTGCCAAGGGGTGCCAAGCGTACCCGGAGATATTTGCATCATGCTGAGATCGGGTTGGTGCTCTGCAAATTTGCTTGAATGCCAGGAGTGCGGGCGGCYCAGAGCTTCACTCCGCCTAGGGAAAAGCAGAAGGATTTTCTACATCAGCAACAGTCTGGCTCCACCAGGGAAAAAACACATGAACAGTCACTGATGGATGGATTTAAAACTGGTCCTACTCATTTCTGTTTTTAGGAAAAACAGTTCTGAGGGAAAAAACAAAGACACAACAACCTTATTTAAAGCATGTAAGGGTGCAATGGAAGCTCCAGGCTGGGCAATAGCAATAGATGCTCTCATTACACTGCATGGTGGGCCTGTCTCGTGGCTGAGGAAAGGGCCACACGACCCATTCCACGGAAAAGTGCTGGCAGGCAGCAGGAAACAGCCTCATTTCCYGGGGTATTTTACCAGCCTTTCGCTACAGCTCTGAGCAGGACGGCTCAGTCACTGGCGGTCCCTTTGAAACAAAGAAAACAAAAGGGAAAAAAATCCTTTTTAGCATCTGTTAGGACGGGATTATGCCGATAAGAGTTGAGCTGAAGGGTTATAGAGGGTGAGCTGAGCCAAGCACCGTTTTATCACTTTATGTGTAGGTGTGTTAAAACAGGGCCCTTTTGTTACACTCCTTYGTTGGGCTCATTTCGCCCAACAACACGAGGAAGCCAAGCACTGTAGGGCAGGGGGCGGGCATAGCCCTTTTTCCTAAGAACAACCCCTATTTTTGCTTTCTCTGAGCCCTAAAATATCCACTGCAGAGATTTAAAGACTCTCTTTGTACTCTGGAGTAGAATGAACAGTCAATATTTTAATTTCTTGCTTGGGAAAACATCCTGTGTGACCTCAAACAAACCACGTTGCTCCTGGACTTGTTCAGCAAGAAGCTTTACGTGAGCAATGCAGCCTTTCTTTTAAGCCACAGATACTTTATAATCATGGAATCCTTATGCCTGGAAAAGACCCTCAAGATCACGGAGTCCGRCTGCAAGCCCCTCAACACCGTGGCTGTTAAGCCATGTCCCTGAGTGCCTCATCTACATGTTTCCTGAGCACTGCCAAGGACGGTGACTCCACCACTGCCTTTGGCAGCCTGTTCCTTGACTACTCTTCCCATGTAAAATTTTTTCYTCACATCTAACCTAACTTGAGGCCATTTCCTCTTGTCCTATCGGAAGTTATTTTGGAGATGAGATTCACGGATGGCTCACTACGTCCTCCCTTCAGGTAGCTGTAGAGAGAGAGAAGGTCTCCCCTGAGGCTCCTCTTCTCCAGACCCAAGAACCCCAGCTCCCTCAGCCGCACCTCGCAAGCTCGGCGCTCCAGCCCCTTCACCAGCTTTGCTCCCCTTCTCTGGGCACAGTCCAGCACCTCCATGTCCTTCTTGCAGCGAGGGGCCCAAAGCTGAGCACAGTATTTAAGGTGCAGGCTGAGTGCTGAGCGCAGGGGGACCCTCGCCTCCCTGGTCCYGCTGGCTACTCTGTTCCTGAAATAAACCAGGGACTGCTGGCCCTTCTGCCACACTGGGCACGTGGCTGCCTCCTGTTGAGCCGGGTCTCAACCGGCACCCCCAGACCCTTTGTGCCCGCAGCTCCGCAGCTGCTCTGCCCCAGGCCTGCACTGCTGCCTGGGGCTGCTGTGAGTGAAGGGCAGGACCTGGCACTCGGCCCTGTTGAGCCTCACACGGTCGACCTCAGCCCATCGATCCTGTCCAGATCCCTCTGCGCAGCCTTCCCACCCTCAAGCCAAAAAGTACCCAGCCTTGGCTTTCTGTAACACCCTTAGGTTTTATTTGCACTTGCTGTTGGCAAAGTAGGCAAGAGGCCTGGAATGGGAGTGCAATAGGACTGTGAGCACCCCTGTGTCTCCAGGAGAGCAGCTATCTCCAATTACAGACCTGAAGGCAGCTCTTTCCTCTGCAGAGACTTCTGGTGACACCTGCACAACTTTCAGAGCCCAATAAAAACCGCCCCAAGATTCAGCTTGCTGGCGAGTGGGGCAGACCTGCTTTTGAAAGCCCACAGCAGTGTCAGGCTTCATCCCAGACAAACAGGGTGAGACATAAAAGCTTCAAATTCCTTAGCAGTTAAGGCCTGTCCTAAGTAAAGACAACTAAATCATCACATTTTAACAGGTAAAAATGTGGTAAAGTCCAGTTGCCTTCAGCAAAACCAGGAGCAACAGCTGATACTTTGTCCCAGGAAGCTGAAGGATTTGGTAACACGGAGCTGTAATCCCCTCCAATCCACCCCATCCCCTCGTGCCTCGCCCCTGGTTCCCAAGGGCTGCACCTGCACCACAGCTGTTGCAAGTGCCAGGACAATTTTATTACCACAAGATTCTCCGCTTGTGATAAGGGGAAAGCGATCCCTCCGTCATGAATGCCAAGGCTAGCGGGGAGAGCCTCGGTTCCTCACCGCCACGTCCCATCACCAGATACATCGGGGGTCCAGGCTGGGCTGGCACCTCAGCAGATACTGAGGAATGAGGATGCCAGGAGAAGCCCTCAGACCTCGGTGCAATGTTGGAACCTAATCAGTTCAGCCAAGGCCCAAACACTGATTRGGTGTCAGATACTGCCCACTTCACGTGGGCTGCTGGAAAACCGAAGGGAAAAGTCTTTAATCTTGTCTGGCTGCTGTTATCTGGGCGCTCCCTGTAACTACACCACTTACTTACAACATTTTCAGGCAGAAACATGACCATCATATTAGCAATCTYCTCTGCCACAGCCTGGCTAGGGCTTGAGGCAGTCCAGGCTTCAGGTGCTCATGCTGCTGAGGTCCTTCACCATTAATAGCTCTGTAGATCTCGTTTATTAGGAGGAAATACTGAGCGTGGTTTGCAGGAGGAAAAGAGATCAGTTTTCTGCTTTGCACACAAAACAGACATGGAACTGCACACTTTATAAGGTATCTTGGCACTAACTCTGCAAATGAAGCAGCATCTAAAGAAAAGCCTTTTCAGAAGTCTTCTTCACCATGTAATAGGGGGCTGAGCTATCTTTTTTGCCACAGTTACAAACCAATGCCACAGCAAAGAGCGTGTCCTGTCTAATTTCTGTTCTTGCTCACTGCTCCTCACCGGGCACAACCAGAATATTTTGCAATTCAAATACACCAGAGCCCAGAGTCCATGGATGGCCTGCACACCACCTCTATAAAAATATCCACTTTTAGTGAAACAAAGGACCCCAGCTTCTTTAAATCGCCATTTTTTGTCTTTTTCTCCTCCCGTTTGCCCAGCAAGGCTTCCTCCAGCGGCAGCTCTGCTCRCTGGAACCGAGGCTGAGGAGCACGGCAATCACTGCAGCTCTTGGGCCGCATCTACCCTGTGTTGGCACAGGGTAGAAAGCTCCCTATTTTGAGCTTTGCTGCATACACAAATCACCTTAAACCCAATCTACTTTAACTCCTTGGCTGGGCTGATCTGAGCCCGATTATCAAGAGCAGAAGGGCAAAAGGCGGCTTAGGCACAACACTGAGCCCAGCCCAGCAGGGGCAAGATGGCTCTGCCTCACCTAGCCACCAAAGGGCAACGATTCTTCATTTCAAGAAGGTGCATAAAACAGACCCAGTTGCTTCCCTGCCCCACAAACCCTGGATTTTGTCACCTTAAAGCCAAATAGGGGAAAAAAAAAAAAAAGAAAGAAAAAACAACAACAAAAAAAAGATGATTCTTTAGAGTCCTCAAGATACCTGTGTGCAGCTTTGCTGGTGTTTTATGGACCCTCCGGACTACGGGGCGCTACAGAGCCRGGCATGTGCAACAGGCTGGTTTCATACACTGCAAATCCTGCCTGTCTGGTGCAGGCAGCGATGGACGCGCACACKCAGGAGGCACTTTACTCTGTGCCTGTGCATTAGATAGACCCTGCTKCTCTCCTACAAAGGCCACTGAATCCCTGCCTTCAGCCAAGAGCCTCAATAGAAAAGCCCTCACTACATCCAACTTCTTTTTCCTTCAAATAACAGCTTCTTTCACCTCTTACTTGGCCTGACTTTATCAGGCAGGAGAAATCCTTGCACAGCCGGGCCCAASTGCACTGCATTGCTTTGCTAGGTAGCCAGGCCTGATTTTAAGACTTCATGTGACTTGAAAACCCTTCATTAAACTTGGCTCTGCCTCACGACAGTACTGCAGCCCATGCTCAGCTTCAATTGCAAACCTAAGCACCAAAGCAACTCAGCAAGTGTTTTCCTTCTGCCTGCGATTAAACCTGCCCGCAGCCCACGCTTTGCCGAGCCAGTGCGTTAAATGAAAGGCTGGACTTAGGCTTAGGAGGAGAGAGTTAAGCTGAGCACATTCCTCAAAGCCACGGCCCCCGCGCACATCAGGAGCGGCAGCCCATGGGAGGCCTCCTGTGCAAACTGCCCCCGAGCGCGACCGCACGGCGAAGGGGCGGCTCGAGGACAGCACCGGAGCTGCCGGGAGGGCTGCAGTGCCTCCGGACACGGCGAGGGCGGGCGCCGGGGCACGCAAGGCTCATCCGAACCCGTGCCTGCTGCTCCCCCTCGGCTTTCCCCGGGGAATGCCGGAGCTGCTCCCCGCTGTTGTTGCAAAGAGCTGAAGCTGCTGGCACCCAAAGGGGTGGGTGTCTCAAGGAAGGCAGATTCCCCCTGATTTTACCCTCGCAGACAATAAGGGGATGCAGCTTGGCCGCTTGGASAGCCAAGGATGGAGAGGGTGTCGTGGCTGAGCAATTAGCCACTCAGACAGAGCTGTCGGTGCCCCAGCAAACTGACCTTGCTATTTTCACTGCGATGCTCCCATGGAGTTCGGAGGGAGTTGACTTTCCATCAGTCTCATGTCTGGCAAATGCATCATSTGAGACCAATGAATAGAGACCATTTGGAATAACTCCTCCGCCACCGACCTCGTGCTCATTTTTCCCCTCTCGCAGAGAGTTTTGAATCCTCCACAGCAAAAAGGACGAAGAAAATAGCAAAACCCTCTAGAACAGCTTCTCTCTGCACCAACCAGCCTCCGTGTGCAGCTGCAGGCAGGCGCCATGGCCCCCGGGACACATCCTGCCAGACTGCAGGGACAGTTCTGGGCAGCTGCTATCGGTAACGCTCCCAAGGAAGAGGGGAAGAAACAGAGAGCAGATAAAAGGATGAGAGGGTCACCCCACGCTGTCCCCTGTGCCTCTCTCTCCCAGGGGAGCCGTGCTGTCTGCATAAACATAACGCATGGGAAAGGGGCTCATCTCTCACGGCTGAGGAGCTGTCTCCGAGGTGGCCTCACCTCAAAGGAGCACTGCCCTAACACACAGAGATTCCCTCTCCGGACATCCTACGCGTTTCGGCAGCCCCTGCGCCGAGCTATTAAGTAGGAGATGAACGAAAAACTAAAGCACTCGGAAGCCTATTAGGATTTCTACAGAGCCTGGCCACGATCTCCTCAAAGCAATGTCACTCTTCATTAAGGTTCAGTCATGGTTCTAAAAATAAGCACAACAGACGAGGCCAATTAGAAAGACGTGGGACCATAACGGCATCGGCTCCATGTGTTTTTCACCGCTTCTGTCTTTTTAGACTCAGAGAGCCCTTCTGGGGCAGGAGAGATCTGGAATAAGCTCCGTTCCTTCACAGTTTTGACCAAAAAAGACGGGGAACTTGCTAGAAAAATCTTAACTTTGTGAAATGTGAGTTTATGTCATGGAGCTGGGACGTAATGTTTCCTCAACAAAGTAGCAGCTTGTCATCCTCTGATGCACTCCTACACTCACATTCAACTCTCCCTAAGTAAGAAAACACTGCAAAGAAAACCTGCGTCAGAAACTCGGGCCAGGCATGTGAAGGCAGTTGTTAGCTGTTTCAGTGTAGAGTCAAGTAAAACATCCTGGCCAAGTTCAGTGCTGCCTCGAATCAGCTGGGTCTCCTTTCTCTTTCATGCCCCTTCCCCATGGCACTGGCAGAAGTGCTGCCCTCTGCTCCTGGCTTCCAGCTGCCATGTTCAGTTGCTATTTGTTTGCCCCATTTGAGAGCCATCACTTGAGATGTCTGGGTGGCTGTGGGCACATTAAAGCTCCAAAGCCTACAGTAAAACTTGCCTGAGTTTGCAGGAGGATGAAGACGACTCCTCTTTGCAAGACACGCTCTCTGGCTGCCGAGGAGGTGCTGGSAGCACGCAGGGGTGATGGCAGCTGTGAGCAAGTCGCTCCTTAGTTGAACTCACCAACAGTCAAACATTGTTAATTAATGATTATTGGTCTTGTACATCACACCTCTGTGTTATCACCTCCCCTCGGTAACCCTCRGGCTCTCTTATCCAAGCAAGGGGCATTTATCCCATTTTCCAGGGAAGGAAACAAAGGGCTGGAGAGGTGACGGCACTTGCAGCCCCCAGGCCTACCGCAGCGCGCAGGGCTGGGAACCGGCTCCCGCGCTGCTGCTGCCTTTTCCATCCACCCCAGCCTACGCCTGACAGGCAGTATTTACACTGAGGGCTTGGCCCTGCGCGCTGAGAGAGCCCCCTGACACTGCCTGACGCTAACCAGAGCCCAGGGCAGGCTGTTAGCGTGAGGGCTGATGTACACAACCTTCACGCACTATCCTCACTGCATTTGGTGACTCCTGCCAATGGGGAGCTTCTGTTAATGAAGCTGKACTAAGTAACAGGGTAAGTGTGATTTCAGTATTCTGAATACTCTGATATAGAGTATTCTGGAGCTCCACTCTGGAAAAGTCCTTGTGTCAGCCACACGAGACTGCAGCTCTGACACGGGGGAGTCCAGGCAACCCTGGCTGGCACAAAGAGCACATGGAGGCTGCAGTGAGAAGCCGGGGAGCACAGGATTAAAAACCCTTTGCAACACTCCTCCTCTTGCTACAGTTTTCCTCTGTTTCCTTTATTGGAAAAAGAAGAAAGAATAGACACAGAAAAGGGTCTGCATCTTACAGATCGCTTCAGCTTTTATCTTTGAAAAGGATCCAGCCTTTTGCTGCCTTTGCCAGACATTCCCATGGTCCCTCAGACCATGAGCAGGAAGGTCCTTTGGACAGACCCTCAGGTGGCTCAACCTGCCCCTGGATTTGCAGGAGTTGCAGAGTCACACTGATTTATCCCATTGACCAAGTGGCCCCATGGGCTTAATTCAAATAATTTCTTCTCATTCTTTGCCAGCCGGTAAATTAGTTAGAAAGACAGAAAAACAAGCATAGCTTGGATTCTTTCGCACCCCGCTATCAAACACACAGCAACTTGCAACAGGAGAGACTTAGGAACAAAAGGAGGAATGTGTTTTCCCAGCCTTGCCCAGTGCCTACAAGGAACTCGGTGGCTGCCAGCCGACGCGCTGCCCTGTAAGCCCGATTATCCGCGTGCAACGTRGACAATGAGTCACGGCAGGTAACCAAGGGGATTTGCAGGGCAAGTGTTTCAGGCGGCAGCGGAATTCTCCTCTGAACTGCAGCCGCCCGCATGAGAGGCAGCGCTAATGAACTCAGCGCAGGGAGGGCCCTGCAGAACCAAGGCACGGACCAGGAATGCCAGGAGCACCGGCTGTGAGGGTTTCATAGATCTGTGCTCGTCTCTTCGGATTAGCCTGCAAGCACCTCAGGAAAGGAAAGGTGAGCGGGAGCAGCCCGAACTCGAGCGTGCAGAGCGGCAGCGAGCGCCGCAGCCAAAGCAAAGGCTGCTCAGGGTGAAATACCCTCCCACACTCCAATTCTTACACATGAGGGCAACTTCCTGTTTGTAGCCMAAGCTCCAACCCAAGTTCAGCTGCTGAGTTAGGCAGAGGCGGCCGCCGGCACTGCCGGGAAAGGGAAGTGAAGCAGCGGCTCTGCATCCAAAGACACATTAATCCAAGTGAAATGCTCACCTTTGGAGCTCCTGCACAGATCTGCCATTACAGCAGGCATAACCTGGCTAAATTATTGATATATAAAGGTGGTGGATACAGGGGAGCCTCCTGCCCAAATTCACTGCGCCTCACATACTGTGGGGACTGCACAGGCCCACAGCCCAGCTGCAGACAAATCCCTGATAAAACTAGATTGATGGGAAAATTCCGCGACATAATCTGCTCCGTCTTGGCAGAACATCAGCTCATGTGCAAATCCTCAGCTGGAGGAYAGCAACACAAACTCAGGTAGCTTATACAAGAGAAGATCTGCTGAAGAACTRAGCTTTTTCCTCTTCTTTTTGTAGCCACCTCTGCTGCTCAGGGACAGCACCTGTAAGTGCCAGCAGTAGCTTAACCTACAGCAACTCCCCAAGGGGCAGCGGGTTTACTCCACAAGTTCATCCTYGCTGATTACATCAGAATATGACTTCATGTGTCCCACATGCCCTTCTTTCAGCTCTTTGGCACTAGAGGAGGGGTCAGATTTCCTCTGGCTATTGGAAATCAAGGTAGATTCTTGGCTTCRCATAAGCCAAGTCTGGCCTTAATGCATTTCTGTCCACAAACGTCACTGCTTAGACTCTATGGTGCAATTCCCAGAAGACTGAGGCAGACTACCTGGTCATGCAGATTACCATCTGACTGATGTAAGATGCTCTCTTGAAGCCAGCAAAAATTTTGCCCGAGTAAACACTGCGCAGTTTTGCCCTCCTGCACACCTAGGAGAAGGAAATCGGGCTCTGCCACAACCCTGGTTTACCTAGTGCAACTCAGGAGCCAACTTCTGAAAGCATTTAAACACTTAACTCTGAAAGGTGTTTCRGAAGCAGCTAAACCTGTGAAGCCACTCCAGACCTACGTGACTGCTGTGGAGACATTTCGCTCCCACATTTCCGATRACAAATTTAAGCATGGCTGACAGAATTTCCCGAGGAGAAAGGACCCCTCTTCTAGGGTTCCTTCCCAGTGAGTCATCCCCACCTGGAGCCACAGCAACATGTTTACACACAGCCCTTTGTAAACATGACGACATCCAGCAAAATTGATGCGTAATTTAAGGCCCAAGAAGTCACTTTCTTTCATTTCCCTGGCACCAGACCAGCAAACCACGAGAAAGGTGGACATGAGGCTACAAATTGTTCTGAGTCACTTCCACCTCCCAGAGCCGCAGGTGTTAGGGATTTGCAGTGCTCCAGAACTGAAAACGCTGCTGCCCTCCTAAGAGGGGCACTTGCCAGCTGCTCTCCAGSAAAAGATACTGCCTAAGGAGACACAAATGCACAAGGTCTCACCTGGTCTTCAGCCGAAAYTTCACTGCTCCTGACCATGGGGTTTTGCTGGGCTGGAAGTCAGTGCTCACGCAGTCGGGGCTGAGCGGGGTGGCAGGCAGCAGGTCGGTGCATCCCTTTGCTGCATACGTGTCCCTGTGAAAAGACACCAAGGCCACATCAACACACAAAACAGGCCTGTATGTTTAATGTTTTCAGTCTGCGTTTACAAAGCATTTTAAGAAATAAAGAGGCAACATATAGACCCAGGAGACTAGAAAGGGACATCAGCCTTGTACTTATAGTATGTAAAGAAAACATCACGGCAAGTCACTTGTGTCTGTCTTCTCCTTTATCACTGCCCACGCAGGCTGAGTGAGATTTTGCACTCCTTTACACCTGGGCAGTGTTCAGCCGTTCAGAGTGGCTCTCACAAACGTTTAGAGGAGCACAGTGCCACAGCCTTGATTTCCAGTATGCAGGAAAGAGATCAGCTACAGCATCACAGAAACACAGAATTCATTACCCAAATCTGTATTCCAGGACACACAATCCCTGTRTCGAGTTCAGGCGCTGCTCTGCAGGAGGTGACCTATCCCCACTTAATCATCTTATGAGAGCTTAGAGAACGCCCCAAACAGCTGAGAGAAAGGCTAAGAGAAAGGCAGGGCYGTTGTCGTGCCTGCCTCGGGATCCCCTTTGCATCCCCAGAGGCAAAACCGAGGCCCCGGACGGCAAAGCGACAGACAGACGGCACCCAGTCGGGGAGGTAGCGCCGCAGCCTCGGAGGGCTCACGTGCTCCCCCATTCCCAAGCCGGGCTCCCGAGCTGCGCGGCACGGGGACACCTGTTCCCCGGGGGAGCCCCGGAGCCGAGGAGAAGCGCATCGCACCCCGCGGCGGCGAGACAAAGCGCCGGCCCGCGCCACGGCACGGCCAGAGCTCACGCTGCCAGGCAACGCCTGCTCACGCTGCCACAGTGAGAAGGGGAAGCCGACCCCCGCTTACCGGCTCTGCTACRGAGCCGGCAGACACGTATTTACCCGGCGTTAGCACCCGCGCGCCGAAGTCACCCAGACGTCGCCTAACTGCGGCTTCTGCTCCTTCCTTCCCGCAGGCGCAGGAGAGCCCTGGGCTGCCCAGCTCCCGGTTTCAGCCCTGAGACGGGGAGCAGAGTGGGAATTTCTGCCAGCCAGCGGAAGCGCCGAACCTGCCCAGAAGGAGCGGGCGCGAGCGGCCGCTGCGCGCGTCTCTCCGCCCCGGCGGCCGCGCTGTGCGCTCAGCGCGCTGTGCGCTCAGCGCGCTGCCGGCGCGGCGCACATGCCCGCGTCGGGGGCTCTGGATAGCTGAGATGGCTTGGATGCCATTCCGGTGAGAGGCCGCCCGTCTTTGTGTCCGGCTCGTTCCTCCCCCCTCTGCTCCCTCCCCAAGACCCACGTGCCAGGCAGGAATGTTAAGCCTCGCATTGCAGATGAGATCTACCAGGGAAGCGCAGCGGCACTTTCACCTCGATTACGGAAATGGACTGCTCCGGAACTGCGCTCTCCCTCGCCCCGCTTATCTGCATGCCAATTTGATCCCAAATCCTGTCTTTTCTTCCCAGGCACCAAACCTCACGCAGATTTGTCTCTCACCGTGAAAAACTTGTTTTCAGAGAAGCAGATTTCACTCCAAGGCAGAGACTGAAGAGCAGCTGAAGAGCTGCTGCAGATGCGAGGACACTCAGAAAGCTTGCACATGCCCGGCTCACACACCCAYGTATGTGTACTATTGGTTAAGCAAACTGCACCGTCCTGCCATTTCTTGTGTTTCTGACGTCTCCCATCTCTGGCCTGCCCTGCTGCCTCGGTGCCCGTGGCACCCAGCAGGCCTCCCTGCCCCTTCGGCACTCGCTCTGCTGCCCGTGCTCCCGTTCCCATCTGCAGAGGAGCCTCGGGAGAGCAGACTTCTGGAGCGCTCCARCTCTAAGCGTTTGCTTTCTAGCAAACTCTCCTTATGTTTCATCTACCTGGATTAGCCTCCGGCACTTTGCTTTATACCTACCTGTCCACAGCTCCATGCAGGAGTCTGACAGGGCCGAGATCACCCATAAACAGCACCCGGAACTGTGTTAAATGGTTAAAGGTTGATATAATCCTTCCATAGTCAGTAATTTTCTAATGCTTCTATCACTTGGAGCCACAATTACTTGTTTTACAATAATGCCAGGTTACCAGCCACCGTTGGCTTTCCTAATCTAAGTCCTACAGGATATTAATAGCTTCAGTAATTTTTAATGTCTCATTATTGCTAAGTCAAAGGTTATTGCCAGATGCTAGGATGGAGCTTAAATTCTGTTTTTTAGAAGTCATTTGAGATTGATAGGAGTGTTTATAACCAGTACCAGAGCTAAAACCTTTTCTAGAGCATTAAAACTGGAGCACTCCAATCAGGATTAAAGACTGGAACTCCCAAATTCGACAGCGACCTTTAGGCATTTCSTAGTTATTTTTCCCTCTGTCTTAAACTGGAATCTAAGAGGAAATCCTCCTCCACCACAGAAACAGGCAACAGCACAGCACAAACACAGAAAGGAGGAGAAGCAGCAGCAAAGCACTGCTCAGCTCTGACAGCCCTGCAAGAAGGGAAGCAAAGGGGTTAAGGTGAGTGTTTTATCCCTGTGGCCTCAGCGCCTGTGTTAGGTAAGGCCACAAGCCGCCCGAGATCCCTGTGCAACCAGCCCAAGCCCAAGGCAAGGAGACAAGGAGAGTTGGGCAGCCTCATCCCTGGCTCTCCTCACCCGGCAGCCCACCAGCGCGACAGGCTCCCCTCCGCTGCCGAGGTGGAATGAGGCCTGCTTGGGAATGGCCAGGCTGCCTCCACGACATCCCCCATCTCCCGGCACAGGGAAAAGCCTTTGGGCCCCCTCTTTGCTGCTGCGCTGGGCGGGACACAGGCCACGCTACTGCTGGACACTGACCTGGCGCTCTGCGCTGGGCTTGCTGCTTCGCACATCTGCCCACTCTGCCCCGGGAATAGGGTGCAGAGCTTACATGTTTTCCTGATTTTGTTACCTCCTGYGGCTGGTCCAGAAATAGCCCATAATCCACCTACCTGCCACGCTCAGAGAATCTCCTTTGGCTCAAGCGGGAGCGCCCAGAGCGGCTGAGCACCAGGGCCCCAGTGCCCTCATGGGCAGGKCACACGTGGAGCTCCCGGGCAGGGGTGCGCGGGACCAACAGTCTGTGCTTGGGGGACCTCGGAGCCACACACGGACCACGAGCCAGTGAGGGGTGCACGGGACACTTTTTCATCAGGAAAAGTCTCCTATGCTGTCCTTGGAGTCCAACGAGTTTGGGCTACAGTGTGAAATGATTCCCTGTGCCCTGAGGAAAGGCTCTAACCTGATACTTACTCATCCACAATGTGGAAGACCCAGGCCTAAATCCACAGTCTGTTCAGGCAGGTAAGCAATTCAAAACTGTTTCATGGACACCCTGAAATGCAACAGGCTCTGCACATTTAAACCCTTCAGTCACTGCAGAGCAGGAGCGGGCTGCAGACCCCGTGAGCTCATGCCTTACTGAGCACAGAAATCTGGGCATCAAACCAGGAGCTTTCCCTGGAGTTCTGCAGCAATATCTAAGTCCTAAGGAGAAACAGTAACTTCCACCTCTTGGAAGTAGATGGGGACAGKGGAGTGCAGGAAAAACAACCCCCGAGGCCATTCTGAGTGCCGTTGGCACTACAGAGAASGAATGGCCATATGAAAGCAAATTTTTGTATCTATCACAGGTACATCTGTGCTGACACCTGCTAAAATAGGATTATTACAGCTATCTTCATGCTGTAAGACAAACACCAAATGGGGACTTCACCTAGGTTTAATTCAGACTCATAGTCTTTCCTCCTAGGAAGGGCCTTTGACTTGAGCAAGCCCAAACTCCTCCTGTGTGAAGAGTGACCCTACCACTCAGCAGCAGACAATACGCACGGACCTGCAGGTCTGCAAAGGAAAAAGCTGGAGAAGGGAGGCTRCATTTTGCTATTCAATACCACCTAGTCCTACTTGGCCAGTGTTTTCTTCAGCTTTCTCTTTTCCCTGAGAGTGCATGGGGTTTATTTGCCCCRACCTCAATCCCACAAGCCGGCCGCGCTGTGTTTGCACGGGCCCACACAAGCACACACACAAAACGCCACTTCTGCACTGTACCTGTTTGCAAGCACAGAACTGAAAGGGGTATTCGCATTCATTCGGGTTCCTCACTTAATTTGGTAGTGGCCAAGGGATCTTTGAGAAAATGAAGTCCCTCTTTGTCTGCGAGAGAGCCCTAATCCCCATTTTGCCCTGAGGATTACTGGGTACTTAGAAAGGCCCTCACATGCACATTTTTGGTCTGTGCCAGCTGCATTCGGGCCCACAATGCGCAGCGTTCATTTGGGTGCTTAGGTTAGAGAATAGACATTCCGCTGCACCCAGACCCCGACCCCGGCGACTGCCACCCTTTCAAGGGCACCCGGAGACGCCAGCCTGGCCCTGTCCGGTGGAGCCCCGTGTGGGATGGGGCACGGGCAGGCGGCCGCGCTCGCCGCCCCGCGAGCTCCGGGGCGCCCGGCTCCCTGTGCCGCTCTGCCAGTGCGACCTGAGCCCAGCTGGAAGGAATAACCCGTGGGGCTGAGCAATTACGTCTTATCCCATGTCAATTCCTGGCTTGTTTTTAATACAGGTTTATGGTTATACTCAATTGTAACTTGCTATTTGTGTCACAGTACCACCCTGAGAGCCTGCCCTGCCTGGGGCAGTGTGCATGCCAAGAGGCAGCAAAAGGGACATGCCTTCCTCCCCAAGAGCCTGCAGTTAAAATAACCCCAACATTTCAGTATCTAGGTTCATGTTTCCACAGTCTGATCTGCTCACGTTTAAATTTGATAATCCCCAGGTCTCCCTCTGAACCAAACTTTACCAAAATGCCACCACAGTAAGTCRACTACAGTGGTCATTCACAAACTACCTCCACTGGATTCACACTGTTGACTTAGAAGAAAATCTATCCTGGCCCCGGCATCCTGCCCGCTAACAGCCTCATTAAGACCAGGGGAGTGACCTGGTGGCTGAAGGCAAAGTGGGGCA